CAAATTACAATAATTTGACAACAATTTTCAGTTACATTTCCAGAAAAAAAAGACATAAAACTAAGTATATTAACCTTACTCAGAAACAATAGAAACAGATACGGAGCCTGCAATTCATGTTGATTCCATGTAAGGATTCAAGAAAATAAGCTATAACTGATTCGAATTCTTAGATGTGATTTAGGAGATAGAAGGCAACAACGATTTTTGGTCTTTTCGTAAGTTTTTTCGCTTTTGGTTTTCTAAACAATAACCTGTCGGTGGATAAACGACAGACCAAAGTTTTGGGCCTGGACTTAACTTTTATATTATATATGGGTCTGAAACAAAACCAAATTTATGTTCACGATGTCCAACAATTTTTAGAAGACAAAATCGGGTATTAACTTGATTTTAATGAAAATGTTTTATGTTTTTTAAAAAAATACACTTCTCTATATTAAATGATTCTAAAAGTAACAGTACAACAGAAAATACTAATAAAGAAAACATGCTCCAGCTGAAAACAAAACTTTTAACTATAATTCAACTCGATCTCTAGGTACAAAAATATGCTAAACATATCAAAAATACTTAGTTAAGTGAAATATTATTTTTTATATCTCAAACAAGTTTATAATTATTTCATACTATATCATTGAATATAAAACCACAATATTAAAATACGTAAACTAAATATTTCTCTATATATACATATACATATGAAAAAATAAAAAATATAGTTTTACAAAAAAAAACATTGAACCCGCGGTGTACCGCGGGTCAAAATCTAGTATATGTACATATATAGTTCGTTTGGAGGAACCTGAAGTATATATACATGGCGACATATGTGCCTGGTAATGGGAAAGAGGTAGACGACTAGTAAAGTATTTTGATGAGCCTTTCCCTGTAATTCGCACTATACGTCGGAAGAATGTTATTTTATTTATGATTGTGGTAAAAAAAAATGATAGAATAACACACTTGGACTATATATATATAGATTTTAGGAGAAATAGCAAACATAATAACATCGAGTATTTTTTCAATATATCCCGTAAATATACAGTAATTTTTTCGTAGATCTATGAGCAAATTCATATAAACCGAAAAAAAAACATTTCATCTTTAATGAAAGAAAAGAAAAGTTTATGAACGATGACGTGGAACTGGAAGTAGGTCAGCTGTAACGGGGAAAAGTGTTAACGTGGCAGCGAAAGTCTTCTGGTCAACGAGTTTGTCTATTTTCTAATCTGCCCACCAACTTCGAAATTGTTTGGCGACTACCAATTCAACAAATTCATAAACAAAAAGAACTATTGAAATTTCAATTTATTAGAATCTAAATCAATGAACTAACTTTTTTAAAAAAAGTTAAGAGGATAACAGTTCGATATACTATAGCAACATGAAAGAGAAATAATGTATTTGACAAAAATATTCTTGGAACAAATGAATAGTTGGAAAAAAATCAACAAACAATTCATAATCATGATTACTAACAAAACTACATATTCATCCCCATATATTTATTACATTAACAACTGTTATGGGTACTTACATAATTCAGTAAGAAAAACAAGTTTAATTAATACGATACATAATATTAAACCATATAAAAAAAATCAACCCCATACTTTTCTACGAAAACAAAACTTAACCAAGTGAAAGAAATTGCAAACAAGTTTGAAAACTACTGATCTAATCTACTGAAGCAAAGAGGAGAAATCAATCACCCAATGATCGATGATTCGAATATTTTCAATGGAGAAAAGGCTCGAAAGTGCTCACCACCTTCTTCAATTGGTCAAGCAACGACAAATACGATACCGTTCCATCGTTTCCAGCGAGAACCCTATACTTATCTTTTCTTGTGAAGTTAGTGCACTCGAACCCTAACGTAGCCGCCAAGATTCTCTGAACATAGTTCGCCACGTCGTGCGGGCTCTTCCCAGACGAACAGGTTGCCTCCACGGGAAGCTGGTTCAAGAACGTAACCTCGTAAACCGGTCTCGGGTTCATGAAGAAGAATATTGGGTCTAAACCTTTCCAGCCTCTAGCCGTGGTCGCGTGGAAGAATCCGACTCTGTAGTTCATCGCAACGGGAACAATCCTATCCGTTAACTCAGCGAAAAGCCCGCTGAATCTTAACAAGAACGGTTCACGACAAGTGGTTCCCTCAGGACAAACCACTAGATCTCCTTTAGACAGTTGTTGCTTGATCTTGGCCGCGTCTACGTCCCGGATTCTTGTCAATCGGACGGTTGGAATGGGAGATAATATCTCAGATAACCGCGAGATTGAGTATGTAACGGCCGGGATGCTGCGTCCAAGCACGTACGATAAAACCACCGGGTCCATTAGGGTTCTATGAGTACACACAAAGAGCACACCGGATTTTCCAGCCGCTGGTGGCTGAGGAGGCTTTCCTTTGACGATAATATGGCCGCCGAATACCTGAGAGACGTAAGGTGTAGCCCATAACGGGAGGATGGCTCCAAGAATTATCCGGATCGTAGCTAGAATGATTCCGAATGGGATCCAAAGGAGAATGAGCAGAGCGGTGGCTGGAGTTGGCCGCTTCACTAGGCGTCCGTCGTGAAATATCACTGGAAGTGGACGTAGCTGAAGTTGTTCGCTGTCATGGCTGTAGTTTTCTGGAATCGGTGCATGAATATGCTCCTACATACAAAACCAAATATTTTTCAGAATGGTAATTTTCGGTTGTTAATATTTTTGGTTGAAAATAGTAAAGATCTGTTACATTTAAAATTTTCTGCTAATTTAATTATTTGCTTATAAAGTGTAACAAATTAGATTTAATTACTAGTCAGTCATGCAATTAGAATTTATGTTTACCTCACATAACGATAAGAAAGTTGTAGAAGCGGTCACAGCCGGTCTTCCAAGACCTAGTTGAGGCCTCCGATCAACAAACAAATTAGCGACACGGTTCAGAAAAGATTGATCGACATCGGTTTCACGTATCAAACCGGTGACGAAACCGAACCGGTTCACGATCAGTTCGGTGCCGATAACTTCATCGGCTCTAAGATGGTCCTTGGCGAACCTCTCCACCATAACTTGAGGCATTCTCGTCACTACGACCCTCTTCTTACATGAGCTGAAAACCCTCCACGTGTCCATACTTACGTCATCCATGTAGAACTTTGGCAGGACGGCTCTAGCCACCGATTCAATCTCCGGTTCGCGTAAACCAACCGTGGCCACATAAATCATGAGCTTGAGAGCGGCGTTTCTGTAGCTGAAAATGTCAAGGAGTGTGATTACGGGCCAGAGAAACAGCAAGATTGCGAAACGAATTAAACCAGATGCTTCGAACGCGACGAGCATGAAGTAAGAGAATGAATCCGCGTTCTTCAGTATTGTCCCTTCAAACTCTGACACGACCGAACACGACGATGTCGTTCCATCTTGCTCCATCACCATTGTTTTTTCTTGGTGTTTTTTTTTTTTTGTGATCGAATATTAGTTTTGACTTCGATTGGATTGGAGATGAAAGAAAAAATGGATTATAACGTTTTTATGTTAAAAGGTTTGGAGTGACTAGTGTCTAATGCAATGGGAATGGCAGCTTATCAATATTGCACCTACCGTAATTGTATACATGGGTTTTCAAAGTTGAAAATTGTAAATGTGTCAATATACTATATATATATAGATATGTGAAGAAAATAAGTTTATGCACGTCACGTGTTTTTTTTTTGAATTTATGATGTAATAATAGTACACGTAAACTGCATAACAAAGAAAGTCATGGTTTGCGATTCGCCAGTTTTGTCCGAAGATTTTGGCTGAATGCACCAAAATTAGGCTATCTTTATTCTTTATCGTGTGTGCAACTGCAGCTAAAATGTATGGATTTGATTAGGTTACTGACCTTATTATGCGTAGTTCATAAAATTTTGTATAATGTGCCTAGTGTATATGGAATGATGTAAACACGTATCTTAGTTTGGTTTAATTAATTTTAATTACACTTGTAGTTGTGAGAAGCTTGCCAAAGTAGAGCCTAATTTGAATTGTAGTCTGGCCTGGTTTGGTTGCCTAACTGACTGACAAAATTACAGATAAACAGAAAGCTTGGAAATCTAAGCAGGGAAACATATGTCGTAATAGTAAATGTCTTGCATATATACGATAACAAGACTATTATATAGTTATAAGAAATAATATTTTACTCGTAATTGCGGCGATATATAAAAGAAGTTACATACGTAAACTTGCGTGTGTAGATTATACAAAGCCTTTGTCTTATCCGTCTCCCTAACTATATTAGCTGAGGTTTGGTTGGAAAACTAATCGGCAGCTTCATCAGAAAAATTTAAACTAATGACTTTGGATTTTAACAACAAATTATTTAACGTTTAATAAAAGTTCTGCATATACATATATAGCATAATTGAGAAAACATCGAATTAACCAGTAACCAAATCAAACGATATTTAGCATTTTAAGGAACGAATCGAAGGATATTTATTGTGAACTACCTTGTCGGATAATAACACAACAATGATACTAACACAACCTAGCCAAATTTATACCACCACCACGCATTGTCGGAGTAGTAAACTATTTATTTTATTTCGACTAAAAATACAGAGTAATGATTACAAGTTGTAAAACGCAAGAGTCCCGATACTGATGATTGAGAAATTCGTCACCTGGTTGTAACGAGGAATTTAGAAACAACCAACAAAACTATGATCGAATCTAAAATCGGTATGTGCAAAAATATATGTATCTCTCTTTCTCTAATTAAACGCATTAGTTTATATCTTCTCAGATGATCTGCATTTTCTAATCCTTATTAACATTTCTTTCTCATTTCTTTTTCCTCTTCCTCCTTCCATCACCTCACAACACTGTCTCCTCGGTGCCTATCAAGAAAAAACAAAAAAAATGTAAAGAACTTAAAACTCAATCAACATGTTATATCTTAGTATGAGAAAATTAATTAAAACACTATAAGTACCTTGTTCCAATACTCAGGATCCATCTTCATTGAAGTCACCAGTATCATCTTCACTTTGGTTAACTCAGAATGCTCCCTCTTTTCGCAGTGACCATAGTTCTTATCCGCTACGCTATACCACGTTTTCGTCCCACTGCCCCTTACATCCTCAGCTCCATCCATGAAATAAGTGACCGGACGCTGACAAGGATCAGGTTGCAAGGGCCGAGTGTTGAAAACGAAAGGTCCATCACTCGAAGACCGCCAAGTTTTGAAGGTCTGCAACGGTGTAGTCAGCTCCTTGGCAGTCAAGTAGTAAGTGTAGATCTGTATGGAGTATCCCCAAGAGATGGATATGGACCATTGACGCTTTCGGTCATGGCAATTAATCTGTTGGAGTATCCTATTCGGGTCTAATGTATAAGGCTTCATAAGGGTCTGTAACGACTCGATAGGGTTTTTGTTAGGGAACATTGGGTCTAAGTAAACGAGGTGATGCAGCGATACAAGCGGTGCCAATGGATGCGCCGCTAGATACCCGTATGGATCTCCTCTTATGTCAAGCTGCAACAACGAATGGTGTGAGACTCCAAACACAAACCCTCATAATATCCACTCACAAACTTAAGTACAATCTTGTGACTATTGGCCCTAGATATCTTACCGCACCAATCCAAAAACACACGGAATAAACTACAGGTAGATATTGAAATTTCCTTTTGAGACACAACACGTGATCGTAGTAGTAATAATGACACGCACATCTTAGTCAAAGAATAAATTTTAATACCTTCGAAAACAGAGATATTATTAACAATAAGAACTTAGCAAAAACAATAAGTATATTTCTAGATTTGAACAAGCAAAAAAATATAGAAAGCTAATCAGTAGTAGACATGATGATTAAAAGCTTTGTATCCTAACATGACAGAATCATGTGCTCCATATTAAGAAATAATTTCATGCCACATTCATGGACCACAACTAAAACCACTCATCATATAATTTTTTACAATATAGTAGGAAGATCAAAAAGGGTCGGAGAGTATTATTTTCAACCAATTAACTTAAAACAACACTAATTACTAAATAATAAATATAAAGCTCTAACTTCAAATTGAGTATTAAATAAACGTATAATATAAGTCACATAATTTTCCTATTTTGGTCAAAAATGGTGTGACTTTATATGCAATAAATCAACACACCAACATGCTTTTTTACGCACTAAAAGGCAAGTGATTATTATTACGTTTGACCCGTTTCACCCTAAGTTGTATGTTGTTAATGTGTAAGAAAAGCCACGTGGCGAGAATCCACTTAATGACCGAACAATCAGCATCTAAAATCTATGCCTTTTGAATTTGTCGGGGCTCCAAAACAAAAGAAAAAAAGAACCGAAATCGAAACGGTTCGACACGTGTATAAGCTGAGAACCAATCGAACGATGAACACGTGTATAACAAAACGTACCTGATGAAAGCCGCGTTCTTCGGTGAAGGGAACGCCGATCTCGCTAACGCAAGCCGCGATTCTCTGATCAGAACCGTAAAAGTAGAAATACCGTTGGAGACAATCGTCCATCTCGGAAGCCAAACGCGCCGCTAACGGACGGCTGACAGCGAAACCACCGCCGCCAAACGCCATGTCGTACGCGTGCATCACGTCTTGCTCGACGCTCTCCGAGTTTCCTCCGATGTACCACATCTGCTCGTGATCGTATTTCGATAGAACCTTGACGAGGTTCTCCGTGAATAAGACGGTGTCGTCGTCTCCCATGACGAACCACCGTACATTTGGTAGATTCACTCTGTAACTATCCCAGATTATGCGAGCGATCCGAACCGCAGCTCTGGAGCTGGAGAATCTGAATCGAGTCCAGCCTGGATCGGAAACTCGAACCGGGATTGAGAATCTGGCGTCGGAGTGATTTTCGGGGATTTGCACCGGTTTATCTAGCCAGACGAAGCCACGTGTCGAGTTTCGCCACCATAAGGATGTGTACTGGCTCCGATCGATCCAGGTCTCAGCTGCTCCGGCGATGGAGAAGAAGATGTGAGAGATGTTGAGCGGTTCGACGGATCCGGTAGGAGGGAGAGCTATTGATTTCTGAGGAACGGCGGTGAACCGGAGACCGTAGGTAGTTGAATAGTCTCGAGCGGAAGGGGATAAAAAAGTGGCGCGGAGGACAAGAGAGACGGAGACGATGAGGCAAGCGACGACGGAGAAGCGTGTGAAGAGCACGAGGTAATCACGTGGTCGCTCCGGCATGAAGAAGAAACTTGAAAATTTCAGAGCCTCTTGGTGGTGGTGATGGCCGTGCTCTCCGCCGCCGCGATTTGCTTTCATGTTTTTGTTTTTTGGTTGGGGGGTGGGGAGAGAAGAAGAAGAGAAACACCGCGTGGAAAAATCACTCCGGCGTGAGGGAGTGGGTCTTATTCATCACCGGAGATTAGCTTACAATTACGGGATCACCCTCTGCATACGCCGCGGGAATGGAGTTTTTGTTTGAAATTTACGAAATCACCCCCACGGTGGCTGGGATTATTATTTTTTAAAAAAGTTTTTGTTTGTTTTTTTCTTTTTCTTTTTTTGTTTTTCCTTTTTGGGAGTGACAAGCTCTCTGTGGGATACAGATAAATGGGAGAGAAGAGAAGAAGGACGGACGAAGAAGAAGAAGAGGTCGCCACGTGAACTCCCAAATGACGGACATGTCCTCAACTTCAGTCAACGATGTGACGACTTTTCGAATTTTTATGTTACTAAGAATAATGTTGTAAGTTGTAACATGTCCTCAACTTCAAATTTCAACTATAATATTGTTTTAAATTCATCTATAATAGTAGAATAATATTGTCACTAATATTAAATACAGTATTGCGCAAAGAAAAGAAAGTAAATTAGTTAAGGAAATTTAAGTTGTTTCCATGTCTGTAATCTTTTTATTCTTAAAAGAGTTCTATCAAATCACATTTTGATCCATAAACATCTGTTTGTGTTCTTAATTGCTTTCATCATTTGTAGTATCATTTAATTCTATAAAAGGGATTTGGATTATAAAAGAAAAAGAAGTGTTTTGAGCTAAAGAGAACAAAAATTAGAAAGATTAATGAAAAAGTAGGAAATGTAACAGAATAATACAACTACTTAAATAGAGATAGAGAATATGCATGGGAAACGCGGATTAGTTCCTAGTCGAGCTTAGATCGTGGTAGACAACAAACTACAGCTCAATTCACACCTTTAGGAATTAATATAATTAAGAATGCTAAGATACATACATCAGGGCTTCTTTTTAATTTGAGGAATCCGTTAATATGCACACGTCGAATGCAAAGACCAAAGAGCATTCTTTATCATGTGTATTATTTTTATGTGCAAATGTTACATAAAGAGAAACTAGGTATACTGAGTTCATTCATGCAACTAGTTCTCTGTAACTCTGTTTATAAATCCTTATTTATCCTCTGTCTCTAAGACTATACGATGATCCTCTCCAGTGTTCGGAAAAAAGAAATGTATAAGACTTCACATGACCTCTATCTTGCCATCGTTCATATCCATCCGCATTAATCAAAATCCCTTTCATCAAAGCAAAACAAAGCGGGACTTGACTATTCAATCGAATCTTAGTTTGGAGAGTTTGAAGATCTCCTCAAGATCAAACTATGCAAAGCACAGCTATAACTTCCTATAAAAAAAGGAAAACAGTAATGTATAGATGGCAAATAATGAACAACATGGTTATCCCGAAAAAAAAAAAAAAAGAATGAACAACATGAGAAACAAGTAGAAGGAAAGAACAACATTTGCTAACTTAAAAAGAAAAAAGAAAAGAAAAAAGGACGTCTCATAGAGAGTAAAGGGATATATAAGAGCCCTCTTTTGCGACTGAGTATACAGACGGTACTACTGTATCTCCGAATTGGGCTTCTAACTTTTCTCATTATTAAATTTAGCTAATCTACTCATTTCACCATCTTCTCTTGTGAACAAAACAGATGTCTCTAATTAATTTTGTTTATAATCCAGTAAAATTAGTACTTTTAAATCCGAAAATTGAAACATAACTGAAATTTCTTTATGAATTTAAAATTTCAATTATTTAATGTGTAGTGACTATAGAAGTTTGTAGAACTTTAAGCAAAAAAACTAACTATACTGAAATTTCATAATAGTTACCATATCCTTTAATTGGTGAGATAGTTTTCCTTAATAACATTCACATAGTCTGCCAGTGATTTATTTTAAAAACGAATTTTGGGGGCCTGAATCACGCAAATCTATAGTTACTCGATGCTTGTGGCCTTGTGGGTCTCATGCTCATATCTCTTAGTGGATCGCTTTGACTTTGGTTCCATATTGTTAGTGGCGTCTTCTATGGCCCAATCAAGTTTTGGGTACACGCAATTTAAACTTTGCTTTGAGCTTAATTATAGAGTGCCAATCAAAGCCGGCACTACATAATATCATCGATCAAATGTTGTTAACGATTTTAGTTGATTGCTACGGTGGTGTAAACAATTGATCATGATCGATTCCTATAGATTTACATAATTGATCATGGTAGGGTTTGCGGTATGTATATCTCCCCCACCGTCCCAGGTTCTGAAATTGTTGAATATTAAAAAAGAAAAACAAAAAAGAAGTGTCGTATGCTTTGCATGTTAGGAAAATGTCATGGTGCATGCCGATTCCACGGCGATATATAATATATTTTTACGTAAACACAATTGTCAAAAAGTAGACGCAATTATATAATAGGTAACAGTTTCATTTATTTATTATTACTCTCAAAGAATCAAAAAATATAGAATAAGGTAGAGTTATGAATGTCTTATAGACTCTTTGGTAAATTTCAAGCATCTTAATACCTTCAACAAGCATATAGGCGACTGAGTTTTATAGAACACCAACCTAGTTGGACACTGGCATTACAGTAATTTCCATCAAAATGCTGCTTAAAACTATACTATAAATTGGATTACAATATTACCTGCCCGTAGAATTAATGACATGTGGAATCTTCCCATTAATAAAAACAGAGAACTACGTTTTTTTAGGGGAAAGAGAGTAACGCATATAGAAAGAAGTTTTCTTTGTCATGACTCATATGGAAAGAAGAAGTTTCGAAGACAATTAATTTTTAAGGTTACGTGTCCAAAAATGTATTTTAATTAATTAAGTCATCTCCTAATTGAATATTGAATGTAAAATCACAACCTAACTAGCCAACTATCTTTATAAATTATTGACTAGTATTCTCATTAACCCTTACAAAAAGAAAAACATGCATAACGTGTCGATCGAGACCGGTCGTGCCGGTGATCTCTTTCACTTTACAGGTTTGGGGAGAAGAAACCTTTTATTTAGACTGTCACGTGGCGGTAGTAGTAGACAGGAGTGGTAGGTCTGTTTCGTGCCAGCTAAAACAATGCAACGTGTCCTAGTATATTTGGTTTGTCTCTGCTTTATAGCTGTCCCAAGCTTGCTGAGATTAGAACTGCTGCTTCCTTTATACCAAAGAGGACGTGTGTTAACATCCTATAGCTTTATAGAAAATGAAAAATATCAAAGGGTGCGATCTAAATAAATATTCTATTTATCATATTATACTAGAATCTATATCTCTATAGAAAAAGAGATATATTTGTTTCAAATATTTGCATATCGCCACCATATTTATAGGATGTTATCAATTATTGTTCAACATAATGTAGGTGATGATCAACTACTTTTTAATGGCTTTTTCAAAATTTATTTTTAATAGAGTTCTGTAGTTTCTAATAAGCAAAACTGTACTGGTAACTGAATTAAAATCTAAATAAACTTTTTTACTTTAATTAAGATCTTGAGAGAAACTAAACAACTCATATATAAGTCCTTAACCAACTTTTTATTCAATGCATATATATACACTAAATTTTGTTTCCAAAATATAATCATAGTAATGTTCATAAATCCTACTAGTATCTCCAAAATCTAATTATTTTGGTAATATATATATCGAAACAATTGTTAAAAAATAGTTTTAAAATGTATCAGTGTTGATTACTTTTTAACAATAAACTCAATTTTATTAATCTTTATGCACATTTTTAGCTAGTAGATACGATTATAGAAAAATATTTTAAAAAATATCAATATATAGTTTTAAAACCTTGGGGTACAATTGAGTATAGTATAACAATAAGAGGACTTAAAAGAGAAAATACATGAGAAAAAGGAGAAATATATACTGATATACATGTGATGTGCGAGGAAACGTGGAGAAGCGCCGAATTCGAGTCATGGAGAAGTGACCGAGGAGAGCATCTTACAGTATCCACGTCAGACCAAACACGTGTCGTTCAGTCCTCTTCTTGGAGGCTTTAATTTAAAACCAAAAAAAAAAAACACAAGAAGATACTTTGGCAGAAGGAGATGATGAGTCATCAACAACAATTCATCAGTCGCAGAGTTCTTAAATACACAAGTTATAGCGCGTGTTTCACAATCTCTCACGGAGCTTACGTATACGCATTCAATATTATAACACAGCTGGATAGGATGATGGAGTTTTAGAGTGTGGTGCATATGCAACATTACTACTACTACTTCCTTCCACCATATTTGATTGATCAAGAACAGGAACTTGATTGAAGTTATTAACGTATTTGATGTTCACTAGATAAGATAAACATTGAGTGATTTTAAAATACATACAAATATTTTGATGTGAAAACAAAATTTGTAATTTGAGGATTTGTTCGGCAAACCATTGTATTCACGTAAGTTTTCAACCATTATCTGCTTTGTAATATGAGACTTTTCGTCATATTCGGTGTTTGGTTTATTTATTTTTTTAATAATGCAAGATGATCTTTTAGTTTTTAACGTAGTATATTCATGACCTGATATGATAATTTAAAAAATAAAAATAAAAAATCGATACATGCAGAAGTTTTGGATTTTTGGCTTGTTATTTTACGAGACCATAAACAAATGACCCAAAATTTGAGCTAGATTCTTCTCCACTTGTGTGTGTGATCGATCTTAGGAAACCTTCTCTTTAAGGAATAGTAATAAATAAGATCTTATAAACAATTAATTTATGACAACAGAGATATTTTTTCCTAATGTATAGTCCCTATGTCTTTTCAGATTCAAGATTTATTGGTTTTTATTTTATTTTTGTTGTGGATTTCTTTACAATATTGGTGATCGAAGAGAGACACCTCTTAGACCATCTTCATTGGGGGTATCTTAGGAGATACTCCCACTTTTTCAAAGAAAATATGTTATATAAAAATTTTCTTTAGAAAAAAGTGGGGGTATCTTACCCTCTTAATATACCCCCAATGAGGATGCCCTTGCCTCTTCGTGAACTGTGTGTGAATCGGTGATGTGAAGTGAACCAAAAAGCACAAGTGGGAGGACGAACATTACCACGTGTCGACTATGCAACACCTATAACGACTAAGCAAGCACAAAGGAATCATGACTGAACATATTTAAGAAAGAAAAAATCTTTTAATCATTCAAATACGAAAACCAAAATATCTCTCGAGAGCATTTTTCGTTGTCAACCAATTCTATTACTAGTATCTCTATTAAGGCATGGGACAATGCATGGGAATTAGATGAAACATTTTGTACTCAAATGATGTAATCATATGTATGACTATACATATATATATATATATATATATCATTTGTCCATGGTTGTTTTATATATTTCCGAGTTCAAATAATAACAAATTGAATTTTCGTATATACAACTATACAAGCATGCATGCATCAATTTTATATTGGCTGTATTTCAAACCTGTTATATATGTAACCTCGTCACATTTCTTCCACTTTTCGTAACTTGTTTTAGTTAGGTTATAATCGTTTTTCAATAAGTTTTAACTCATCATATATTCAAAAAATATATTTCAATCTACTTTTACATCCGTTGGAAGATTTTAACCCATAGTATATAAAAAGTACGTACGTAGGCTATGCTTATTTGATTGTCGAAACATTTTTAGATTGCATGTGTGAGGTGAGATAACAGACGACATTTCCATTTCCTTGTCGGGAAATTTTGGATCTTGATTCCTGGTTTATTTCTAATAATCTCAATTATTCTGTCAAGTTTTGGATCTATATATTCCTAAAATTAATAATTTGGCTATTATGTGTTCACGGTGCGTTGTTTTTCTAGCGAATAAATTTATACTTGATGGTACGTTCAGAATCAGGGCCATCGTTTGTGTTTCAAACCGAAAAAACACGAACTCAAAACATTAGAATGTGCTCTCATGTGTATAATGAGGTGAACATGCATGAATGGTATAGTAGTATATGACTAGATTTTGTGCTAGTGGCTGACCTATATATCATTCTGTTTGAGTGTTTGTCATCACCATTAGTCATCGGTAGTCAGTATTCAAGATTCTATACAGTGTCAATGTTATAATTCTACCACACAATACGAATCGAGAAAACCTACTTTATATTTCCAGCATTTTGTTTTCCCTATGTGGCCGATGTATGATCATCAAAACACTTTGTATATGGAGTGAGTATAAAAAAAGAAAGAGATCTTCAAAGGATACACCTGTTATATTTGTTGTAAATGTAAATAAGTGAATCACATAGTTTTAGATTGTTTGTAATTATTTTAGGTTTAAAACCTATGCCGATGGTAATAAATTACGAAAATATACTAATATTAAATTGATAATCTATACAACATTTATCTCATATTGAGATTTATTACATAAGAGTATCTCATAGTGATTATTGTTCCAATTATTTACTGAAAAAAAGTTGACAATTTTTACAAGAAACCAGTATTTAAAGAACAATTGTGTCTCTATGTCTCGCATTACTCTTGAGTCTTGACCTCTGACTCTAATTATCTTAACTAAAAGAGCATATAAATAGCGTATTTTACTAATCACAAAAGAAAAAAGAAGGGGTGGACCACATGCGTGTCAAGGAAGGCCGGTCGTTACCGTTAAGCTGTGTCGAGCTGTGATTGGGCCACGTTAACGGCGTATCCAAAAAAAGATAGGCACGTGTATAGATCGGGAAGAGAGAGAAGATAAAAAATAAAGAAGAATGGACGGTTTGGATTGTATCTAGGTACCAGGAAATGGTACGTCACACCAAACGGTACGTGTCGGATCCTGCCCGTTGATGGTGACGGTCAGCAACTCCTTCCCCTGCCCGTTTATTACGTGTAACCCTTTCATGCGGAAATAAAAACTTTTTTTTTTTTTTTGTTGTTGGTTCGTTCTTTCTTCTTCTTCACCTTTTCTTTTTAAATCAAACCTTTTCTTTTAAAAAAATCCCATTCCATTTCCTGACGCTCTAATCTCTCTCTTCATCTCTCTCTCTCTCTCTCTCTCTCTCTTTATATCTCTCACTGATTGAAGAAGGTTTTGATCTGTAGTAACTAGAGAAACAAGTTTTGTTGTCGTGTTTAGTTTTTGAGTTCAAATGGCTGGGATTTGTTGTGGTGTTGTTGGAGAGACCGAACCGGCGGCACCTGCTGATTCGACCACTCGTGCTTCGTTAAGACGGAGGTTAGATCTGCTCCCGTCGATCAAAATTGTTGCTCCGCCGCTTGAGAGTTGCCGTAAACGGCAGAAGCGTGATACAGTAGTGTTACCGAATCTAGATCTGGAATCGAATGTGAGGAGTGATAAAAAACAGAAGGTTACGAATTCAAATTCTGTTACGGAAGCAGAGAGCTGTTTCTTTTCCGATGTTCCCAAGATTGGTACGACGTCGGTTTGCGGTAGGAGAAGAGACATGGAAGACGCTGTCTCGGTTCATCCTTCGTTTATTAAAAAGAACTCTGAGAATCTTCATTTCTACGGTGTCTTTGATGGCCATGGCTGCTCTCATGTACGTTACCGTCTCTTTCAATTATTTTCAAAAAAAAATTTAAACTTCTTTTGATGTTTGTTAGTTACTAATTATGGATTCTTTCTGTTTTGGTTGATTTTAGGTTGCGGAGAAGTGTAGAGAACGGTTGCATGATATTGTCAAGGACGAGGTTGAGGTTATGGCTTCCGGAGAAGAGTGGAAGGAGACGATGGTGAAGAGTTTTAAAAAAATGGACAAAGAAGTTAGCCAACGAGAGTTTAACTCAGCTGTTACTGGTGCAAATCGGAGTTTGAAGAACTCTTGTAGATGTGAATTGCAGTCTCCTCAGTGTGATGCCGTTGGATCTACCGCTGTTGTCTCTGTTGTCACGCCTGAGAAGATCATTGTCTCCAACTGTGGTGATTCACGCGCCGTGCTTTGCCGTAACGGCGTAGCCATCCCTCTCTCCGTAGACCACAAGGTAGCTAAAAGTTAAAATACACTACTACTGAATATGTTTTAGTATGTCGAGATCGTACGGTTCTAAGAGTTTTGTTTTTGATATTAACAGCCGGATCGACCCGATGAATTGATTCGTATTCAGCAAGCGGGTGGGCGAGTTATCTATTGGGATGGAGCTAGGGTTCTTGGAGTTCTTGCCATGTCTAGAGCAATTGGTGAGTACATCTTTTCTCTATTTTGACTTTTTTATTTAAAACTATTTTCAACTACATAAAGAGTTAAATCTGATGATGTTTGTTTTTTTCTTGTGCAGGCGATAATTACTTGAAACCATATGTGATTCCGGATCCGGAGGTAACAGTGACGGATCGAACCGACGACGACGAGTGTTTGATCTTGGCTAGTGATGGACTATGGGACGTAGTGCCCAACGAGACTGCTTGTGGCGTGGCTCGCATGTGCCTTCGAGGTGCTGATGCGGCGGAGGGAGAAGACTCTGATGCGGCGACTGCGCACAACGCGTGCTCAGACGCGGCTTTGCTCTTGACGAAGTTGGCACTTGCGAGACAGAGCTCCGATAACGTGAGCGTCGTGGTGGTTGACTTGAGGAAGAGGAGGAATAATAATAATAATCAATCATCTTCTTAATTAGTACTTTAATTGGGGACTAGTAATTAGTATTTAGAGAAATTGTTTACATAGACCCTAATTGTATTCTTTTCTATATTTTCTACTTTAGTTTTTAAACGGTTCTTAATTCAGGCTGGGGAAGAAAAAAAAAAAAAAAGGAGCTGATCACAAAAAGTTTACGTGTTATCTCTTATAATATGTTCGTAATACGGAATGTAACGTAATGTATAATCTGTGAAACAGTAATACGTAAGTTAATATAAGAAGAAAAACCTATTCCTCTTTGCTTGTAGGATGTGCTGTAAGACATAAAAAGCAAAAAACAGAACAGAAGATCGGTTAATGTTAATCGGGGTAAACGGGTTTGGTAATAATCTGTCACTCTTTTGTTATTGATTTTAAATCCAAGCCGGTTTAGTATTGAATCTTTTTACCGATCTCAATGTTCTTTGTTTCATTTTTATGAACTATTTTATTTTATTATTAACGATATTGTTTTTTAAAAATTTGGTGGAAGAACCTAAGCTGGAGAATATCAATAAAAACAAAAAAGTACAATAATTAATTAACTATAATTAAACTAAATGAAGATAATTAAGAGACCTGTCTGGCCAACATTGTCGAATGCGTAATGTCAGTTAAGGTCGGATTCAATCATTTTAGTATTATTAAAACCGATTTTGATTTAATCGACTAAAATAGTATCAACTAGGAAGAGGAAAATAATCTTCACATTCTTTTATGAGTTAATTAATATCAACTTGAACCTAAATAAATAAATAAAATATATTATATATCAATCTGTAACCGTCCAATACTTGCAACTTGCCAGTTGCCACAATGACCAAATAATCAAATCTTCTTTTATCCAATCATGTTGCGTAAACACTTCACAATAGTGTTAATAAGGTATTAAACTGTTAATCATAACTTGAGGGTATGTTTCCATGTTTTTGTATCTTGCTAGGTCGATAAAAGTGCGAGTGTTTAGGCGTCAGAGTAATCTTGAACACAACACAGCATAACTACTTGTGTTAGCGTAGAAGCTCTTGGATTAGAAAGTGTAAATTTTAGGATAAATTTTAGAGTTGTATAAATCCAATACGGGCACAATTGGTCGAAGTGAGGAGACTTCACCATCAAAAGATAAGGGCACTGCCAAAATTTTTATCAGATTTGGAATTGCATATAATGTTATAATGATGGGGTTTTATTATTTTAGCTGTTGTCTGTTGGGTTCGTGGAAAGAGTGAGAAGGCAAACACACAAGAAGAGTTGAGTCGAGTTGAGTTGAGAGGGACACAACCACAAGTGGGGGATCTTAGATAAGATTATGCCTACTTGTGACAATCAAATAACGACACGTGTCTATTTGGTGTGTATGTGAGATTTGGTTTCCAAGATTTGATGTTGACCTATCTTTCTCAATTATTCTTCCTCTTTTCTCATTTTTCTCTATATGCATCATAATGTTGTCTCGTTTTGTCTGATTAAATACTCTACTCATGTCCCCTAATGGTTTCATACTTTTATAGTGTAGAAGAAAGCTTCATGACACCGCTGAGTTCTTTGTGTTAAAATATTAACAAAAATTGAGTTTCCCATATATGTTTATGAAAATGCTAACATTTTAGCAAACAACGAACTCTGCCTATAGCTAGTTTGGATTTCACTTAGATGTTGTTGTTGCATGTACACGTTCTGGTTACAGTGAATGAACTTGTTCAGCCTTTTGATAATATTTGCTGAGCGATGCAAGTACTACCAATACACACACATAAATGAAATGCTCGGTAATGTTTTTTATATTTTGTTTCCAAATCGTTTAACTGATAGTTTTACCCAAACGACGAGCATTTTTATAGCTATAAAATGTTATTTTTCCATTGGAATCATATTCTAGCATGTCAGCATGTGGAATATGCTATAGAGATAATTAACATATCTTTCTTACAATTCGGTGACTTTGATATTAATTAACTAGTCATACAGAGAGACTTCAACCTGGTTTAAGCTGAGGAAGTGGATTGATTACCTCATGGATATATTACTAGAAAACCATTGCCAAAGATAGATATAGTTGGATTGGACCTCAAAAATGTTCTTTTTCTTACTAAATGATAATATTTGTCAACGATGAAAAAAAAAAAAGGTCTTAAAATTTTAAAAGATGGAAGTTATCATATTGGAATAATTTACATATTTCTGTCTTTCCGGTATTATTGTCCCCAAAGCTAAATTAAAGATTTGGTTTAAGAGCAATAGAGCATTATTAAGTAAGACCATCAAATAGTAAATCGACTAAATAGTAATTGTTCACGATCTATATAGTAACTTCCTACGTTATTGGAGACTACCGATCATCAGCAAATAGAAAACCATATATAGAAGAACAACATATGCAGAAGAGATATGAACGTAGCACCACCATCTTCATGAATTAAAAGGCACTCAGTGTTTCATGGTGAAGATTTAGCGCCAACAAGTAAACTTTAAACTTAGGGTTTTAAGATTTTTTATTTATCGTTTTAGATGATATGCTCCTATTTATATTTTGATACACATTACTTGTTTTTAAAAGTCTCAACTCTTGGTGTTATCTTTCTTCTTGGTCGATTGATGGTCCTAGAATCGGAGTTCTATATGTGAAGCTTTTGTTTCTCTCATTGTTCGGCAGCTTTTAAAACCTAGCTATTGTATAAAACAAGTTTATATATTCTCTCAAGTCACAACCTGATGATACCTGTTTCTTTTTTGAATACTGTTTATTAAAAGAAACCATGTCTCGACTGGTTTTCTTGAACTTTCGGCTAAGCTAAATCCTCGTTTATAAGTTGTGTCAGATAATTAAAAAGTCAAAACAACAACCACATATAACATATTGCTCGACAAGAAACAACAAAAAGAGACAATGATGTTTTAATTTTGGCTTTTAAAAAAAAAAAAAATGTTTTACTATTTTTATGCCGATTGAAGAATGCCACCAACTAGGACTCGGCATCGTAAAAGTTTGGTAAGTTTCTCGCAAACTTTTCGTTTCCGATTCAGCTGAGGTTTTAAATTTTGTTCGGTTGTAGGAAAAATAGACGATTCCTTTAGGCGCAAGCAATATAATAAGATATAGTAACAAATCATGATCTTCCTAAATCATAATGATCGAAAAATAATCCATATAAACAATAAAAAACGAAACTGTAGGGCCAAGCAAAATTAAGTTTCACTTTGTTTACTTGCTACACACGAAAAATTAATTGAACCATATCTTTTATTAGAACTGTCATCAATCCCATCAAAGAGCTTGCATCCAAATCACCGATGGAAGAATTAGGGTTTACTGAATCATGCTCATCCAGTGGAGACTTCATCCCCGTTTCCCACAAGAATGCACCGACTGCAAATTCTTTTTTGTAGGACAAGTCACCGACATCTATAGGCAGACCATAGAGACTGAGAAGTCGATCTAGTTCATCCTCCGACATTATCTCGTACTGTTCCTTTGTGTATTTCGGGTACTGAAGAGGCATTTGAAACGAAGACGATGACCAAGAAGCAAACAAGCTGGCGAATTGGTTGCAATCATTGTCCGACGATGAATTAGATGGTTTTTTCCCGACGACATCAGAGTCTTTGTTGAGATTTTGTAGTTCGTCACGGAAGATAATGCTAAGTTGTGAAACCTTTTTCATTTTCTTTAATAAAAATCTAAGATTTAACCTTTTGACTTGAAGAAAAAATTACTTAAGAGCCAGTATATATGTAGATTAAAAGTAAATGGAAATTTTCTTTATCTTTGCAGACTAGGTTTTCAAAGAGGAAATTTTCTTATTTTTATTCATTGATAGTATCATAATTTGAAATTAACAAGATAATTTTACAGAAGTGTTTAGTGTTCTTCATGAAAGAAACCCTCACGTATCACAAATCCATTTTTTACAAGTGATGCAAGTTTTAGGGGGTCAAAGGCTTGACGCTATCGTGCCAAATCTCAAAGGTGCAGGGTTTATGTTTTGCGAGACCATGAAACTGAATAAAACCTTAAATTAGTAAATAACAAAGCCTTATGTATTAAAGAGAGGTTGAACAACTTCTCATCTATTCGCATATAACCAAACCAACAAACAAAATGGTCGATAGAAAAAAATCCATAACAGGAAAGACGAGAATGAGAAGAGTTTTAAGGTCTCATCAGACATTTCTTTCTAGGTTGGTCTTGGAGTAGCCCATTCAACCCTGAGGATGAGGTTATCATAACCATAACCGTTCAATTTGTTGATTGCTCGTTGAGCGTCATCTCTGCTCTGGAAGTTGACGAAACCAAATCCTCTGCTCACTCCAGTTTTCTGATCAATGGCCACGTAGACACGTGTGACAGCTCCAAACGGATGGAATAGCTCCATCAAGTCTGGTTCACGGGTATCTTCCGACAAGTTGGTTACACGCACAGAGTTCTCATCGTTCCTCCTCCTCATGTCTGAACCAACAGCGCTTCTGTCTGCACCTGCTCGCATGCTAGGAGGGACATATGCAGCCTTGCCAGTTCCAGGTGCAGCGGATACGGTAGATGATTCCCCTGTGGGTGGTTTGTCAATGAAGGCATCAGTTGGTGCAGCAAGATCCTTGTAAGGGCATTTTGATGTCCAGTGATCTCCTTTCTTGTGGCATATCCTGCACACCATGAGAACTGCACCTTTACCCAGCTGAGACAAGCCGTCTCCTGTTGCCTTTGAATCATCCGCTTTGGTACCTGAATTAACACATCACATAAGCCACAGAACTACACAAATAGTGGAAGATTTGAGTCAACGGCTAATTCATAGTCATATACTCATATCAATGAGTATATGACTACAACATTAACAAGAAACTAAATTATTCCCCGTTTAACAAATATCAACCCATTTTGAACTTTTCAATCAAAGAGAGGGATCAGGTTAAGAACACAAAAAGTAGACATTTCACAGGACAAAAGCTTGAAATGTTAACAATCTTTGCTAAAGCTTCACATCATCAAATCAAACCATTATGTACAAGCTGCAACATTTAGGTGTACAGTTAGCAGCCACAAAAGTGAGAGCACAATGTCAGCTCGTACTCAGGAATGGACTACAAACAATAAGCTGATATTGGTGACATACTGACCAATCACACAAAGAAGTAGCCTCACGACTAACATGTGATCGGCTAATTGGTCACCTCACTCTAAACAATCTCAGACTGAACAGTAAGACTAATGAATTAGTACATGACCCATAAACAACCAATGAAATTAGATACAGTCCCAAGGATCACTGACAACATCTTTAAAGGTGAGTAATTTATCCTAGCAAATTGATTTCAAATCCAAATTCAATACGGACGCAATAAAAACAAATAAAATTGACCAGAATCACATCAGAGAAACAGAATATACCAGGAGCTCTGGGTCGTTCTAGAAGAATCTCTTCGGTTGAAACCATTGTGAGATGGCTACCAGCCTCCTCATTGGCTGCGTCACCAAACTTCGGCCAGTTCCTTCGCTCCATGGCTCGTTTGTTGAGCCTCGCCGAAGCTAGCTTCCGGACACGTGACCTAGTCGTTATCTTGACCTTGTTTCCTTCATCATTGAACTTGTACTCTATAGTTGTCTTCAGACCGTTCTCATCCGGGCCAATCACCTGCTTGGAGGAGCAGGAAATCCAGATCGTCGTCTTCGTCCATCTCCCCCCATCGGAACTTGCTCGTTTTCTGCTGCGAATCGATCGTCATCGTCTCTCGTTTTGGGATTCAGATGCGCCGCTTATGCCTCGGTTCAGCCTAAGAATTGAAGAGGAAGAAGACGATGCTCTCTTAGGGTTTCGTATCTTATCTGTACGCTTCGTAACTCCGCCTATAAGTAAACGCACCGTTTTAATCCTCTTTAGTGATTTTGGTGAGGTAATTGACTTTTTTGGTCCCGTGATCGAATCTCACCGTCCTATATTTTTGGGCCTTTTATAATGAACTGGTTTCACAAGTAAGCCCACATGTTTTATACAAAATTGTCAACACGATAATAATGCAATGTACTCCATCCAACCCCAAACTCTGCATAATAGAAGTAAAGGAAGGTAATGTAAAAGCTGAATCATTGCCACACTGTAAAGAGTACGAGTTTCACACAACTACAACAGACACTTAGTGTTGAGCAGCATTACAAGGAACCTTAAGAGCACAACACTATATCCTGTCTGCGATTTCAACCTTGTATTTCTATTTCACTAACTAGAACAAAGAGCACTTATCTGTAATCAGACAAGTGGCCTTATAATTTACCAGCTTACTATTAGAAGACAAGAATAACTGCGATTGTTTGTGCCCATGATGGAAGGAATTGGAGTTCATGTCCTTACTTGAAACCGATATGTCCCCGTTTGGTTTTGCTTCAAGATCGAATCAGTGCTTCCTGCCGATTCTTAAAGTTCACTGTAGTTGCGCCAGACAGCCCGGAATTCTTCACGGAATGTGTTCAAGCGTGCCTTGAGGTTTGGAGTTCTCAGGCTTGCGTGAAGAAGGATCACTAACGGAGAGAAACATTTCAAGTCAAGAGATGGAAACTGGACGGAAATTAGGAAAAGGAGCTGAAAGAAAAATTGCTTGGAAGTGCAATAACTTACAGAGAAGGGCAGTGGTAAATGCATAGAGGACCCATAACAAACCGCAGGACATAAACCACAGGACAAAACTGGCTACATAAGGAAAAATGAATACTTTGCATTATCTCACCAAGAAGTTGCATATCAATAGGTGGGAGAGATTATACGAGAAAGCGCTATAAGTACCAGTTAAGCCAATCAAGACGAATACCAAACGGGGTTGGCCACAAACATAGACTGCCTTTCTACTTGCAGATCGCCCACGAATGACAGGCCTGAAAAAGTGTTCACAAGTAATAAATATCAAAAACTGTATGTAAATCTTCCAAGGTAATCAAATTAAAAGTACTTACATGTGGGGAGGCCTCATCTTTGCAGCTAAATGTGGAGAGAAATGCCTAATGGTCCGGATCATCTTCTCATTAAAAGTAGCTGCAAAACTGCAAAAGACAACAAGACCCTCACAAAACGTTTGACATAGATGTCAAGGATAAAGACACATGATTACATAGTACACACAAAGCCCTCAACTTAATGGGTAAATTAAAAAACAACAACCAAATCACTGAAAATAGAGAACCTTACAACACTCAAGTTTTGAGAACAAGGCCATAACCTATTGAACCTATTGAATTTAATACTAAGGAAAGACACTTCAGGGGCTAATCACTGAAGATAGAGGAACCTTAAAACACTCAAACTTTAAGAACCTGACACCCTAATACAAAGCACAGACACTTCAAGGACTAATCACTGAAAATAGAAAGTTTTATGAACAAAGGGCCATAACCTATTGAATCTTTTACAAAGAAGTATGCACAACCACTTCACTGACTATATATAGAACCTCCTCCTAAACCATTCTTCTCTCCTCCTAACCATTCTATAGTCGCGAACCAACAAAAACTAGGGTAACAAATGCATTCCTAAGTAACAAAATTAAGAAGGAACTAACAAGAAATGACAGGAAAATACCTGTCGTTTAGGAAAGCTAAGCTTAAGGCAGTAAGAGCAGCACCAAGAATGGCCAAAGGTCGCGTTATAAGTGCAAGACCTGAGTCAACAAAGGGGAGAAAAAAAGAGTTAAATCAGGGTTTTAAATCAGAAACTTAGCTATCTCAATCACAGCTTGAAAAAAAAAAACAGAAGGTCAAGCCTTTGGACATACCCAGAACGAAAATCAACAGGATGAAGTAATTCGTCCTATAGCTGCAACAGGATGAATAAAAATCAAGACCTGGGTTTGTAAACACGAATACGCATAGATAAGAAAAAAAAGAGGGGGTAAAATAAATACTAGTAGAGATTGCATTTGAGACGGCTCATCCATTTAGAGAAAGATCGAGGAAAAGCGAATCTGGAGAAAAACTCAGCCAAGGAACGAGGACGCGTCGACCATTCAACCTCTCTTAGCGCCTCAATCACATCCTCAGCAGCAACGCTATCCCAATCCATCTCTCTCTCTCTCTCTCTTCAGAAACTACGGAGATCGATCCAAAAGAAGGAAATACAATAACCTGCTACGAATTGGAAGAAGAAGATGAAAAAGGTAGGGTTTAATTAGGGATTCGAATTTCAATTCGTGGGTATTTTGATTCTCAGGTTTTGTGTGTCTTGTTTGTTTTTTTCCCTGTGGTTCAAGCAAAAAGCAAGGGGGAAGGAAAAGTGAAAATTGGAGGAGGTACGTGTGTTGTGAAGTCCCGCGTGCGAAATGAACATAGCGTGCGTGTAGCAGATGATGACGTGGTCCGCAAAACGTAAGTTGGAGAAAAAAGAAATGTCTGAGCCCGGGTTCGAACCGGGGACCTCTAGTGTGTGAGACTAGCGTGATAACCGACTACACCACCCAGACTTTCATGTCTGATTCTCTACTTAAAAGGTACATGTACGAAACATATAGTGAAAGAAATAAACAATGTTCGTCAGAACTTGTGGGTGATGATGTTCTTCTGAGATTAGTCACAAAATGAAGCAATATTGAATGTTCACATCCGGTCTGAGGAATGTATTTTTTTTCCCAGTTTCTGATGTGCCAAAAGCCCCAAAACCCCTCTTCGTTGCTATCTGAGAAAGAAAAAAAGTTTGTTGATGTCATTGAAATCTAAGAAAACAAGTTGTAACGAATTTCTTGTTTGGAAAAGGATTGAAATAGAAAAGTCTCTATAACATTCCTCTATGTGCCTTTATTTTTTATAAAAGTCAAGAGCCTCAAATGTCACGAAGGCTTTACAAAGTTCTTTCTTCGTAGTCATTGACTTACTTTGAACGATCCCATCACAAAACTTTGTAGGGAAAAAAAATAAAATCAGCAATCCTTGTAGAAACTTTCAAAATCTGAACAGTGTAGGAACTCTTTCTGTCGATTAAGTCTTGGTTCAACCAAGAACATCTTGGCCAACTGCTCAGTTTTTATACAATTTTTTACAAACAGTAGCTTGTAGTAGTTATTGTAACAAACGGAACAAGGTTTTTTTAAGAAAACAGAGATGAACAAATCATCAAATTCAAAGAGATTTCAATTCTTTAAAAGTGGTGGTGTTACAAGTCAAGTCCTTCAAGAAAAAGAAAGAAAAAGAAAAAAAAAGAAAAAACACACAAAAGAAAGTTCATGTTGATGATGCCTGCTGCCGTATCAGCTTTTTCTCTAAACAATACAAAGAACAAGTAACAGTTACAGAGTTATCGTTTTTGTAGTAGATGTAACCTGGACAACGATGACCACATTCAACGCAATAAGGTCTAGTGATGTTGCTGTTGCGGCGAACTTCCACTTTCGACGAGTTATACTTGAATCTGAAACCAGGCTTCATATAAGCAGAAGATCCGAATATGCAGTGAAGGTGGATAGTGATACAACATTCGTTGCATTTGTAGAACCTATCCCTTGGATTTACCTTTTTCTCACATACTTCGCACCAGTACGTATCATCTGATTTTTCTCCATAGCTTAGATAAAGAGGATGCTTGTCGTATTTGTAGCTTACTTTAGTTGGAATTGTAGCGCATAGATAACACATAGCAAATTTGCATTTAGTACACTGTAGGTAAGACCGCATACCTATCTTCTTGCAACCCACGCAACCAGTCTTGTTTCCACCTTTAGAAGATGTGGAGATAAACAGAGGATGTTCATGACTTTCATGGGTGAAATAATCAGGAACTGACGAAATACATCGAACATCTATCTGAACGTGCTTGGACACACAGTTCTTTTTGGTACATATGTACCTGAAACCAGTGGACTTTCTGGAACAAGCTGAACAATTGATGAGATCATAGCGGTTTTGAGGAGAGGTGGCTAGGGAAAGAGGGTGTTTGTGTAACGCATGACTCATTTTCCGAAGAAGGTTAGCACATACCTCGTGGAGAAAAAAAGCACAGTGCGTGCAATTGTAGAAATCACGAGAGTCGATAGGAAGGATGCATGCTTGACATTGCTTCTCTACATCTATTACACCATCATACTTCTTGAGCTTTAGAAGATGTTCATGAGAGAAATGTTTTATTAGGTTACCCCAAACCTTCTTATATGGGAGGATATCTTCAATCTCGTCTTGTTCTTCGGGTTCCTGTTCGAGTTCTTTCCCGTCCCATACGTTCTCATTTGTTGCACAATTTGAATGAACTATATAAGAGCATTTCTCGTGGTTGCAAGAATATTGGCCGTACTTGGTGTCAACTGTCTCGTAGCATATCCGACATGGTGAAATCTTCGATTGGAGGCAAGGAGTGTGAAAAAGGCGATGCTGGTGACGCGTGATCTTTATGACTCGTGGTAGCTCGATGCAACTTTGATGGATCATGTAGTTACATTCAAAACAAGCATAGCTTGGATCCAACACATTGACCAATCCACAAGCATCACATGGAGTCAAGAGAGGTCGCCTGTAGAAGACGAGTTGATGTTGATGATTCTTCGGGTTTGCAACAAGGAGAGGTGGAATATTTTGGGAGCAATGGAGATCCAAACAAAAGTTGCATAGAGAGCAACGGTAGAACCAATTGCATTGGATAATTTTTCTACACCATGTGCATTGATCAGGTTCGATAGATCCCAACTTCTTAGGATGAGACATGTTGGAGCCAGACAAAACTGTAGCGCAGAAAGACTCATCTATATTACCGTCTGCTACGCACCCGGTTTCATAGTTCCGGAAGGTGAAAGTAAGAGGGTGTTGGAGGTGATAAGGATGTGTTAAATTCCTTGGAAACATATGACAAACTCTGTGGAACTCCTCATCGCAAGTCTGGCAGAAGAAATGATAGTTGTGGTCTTCGATCAAGGGAGATGTCTTTTCGCCGCATGAAAAACAACCAGAGTCGGTGTTTCCGCCGAGTCTAGGACAAAGTGTGTGAGGGCGATCTGGATGAGACACAGGACATCTTGGGTTTTCTTTAGGAAGAGGGGGAGGCTCTGAAAGTTGTCTCGTCAATCCATGGAAGAGATCATGTGGAACTACTTCTTCTTTGTCCATGTTTTTGCGGTCTTTCCTTCTAAGTCGAGGAGGTGGAGATACTTTTTTCTTTTTCATCTTCTTACCATTTTGTTGTCGAGGTGGAGATACTTCTTCTTTGTCCATCTTTTTGATGTTTCGGTTATAAGCTCGTCCATATCCAGAAGTTGGAGGAGGCGGAGGGGGTGGAGGAGGTGGAACAACTTCTTCGCTGTCCATCTTTTTGCCACTTCGGTTTTGATATTTTCCATGTCCAAAAGATGGAAGAGGTGGAGGCGGTGGAGGTGATGGAGCAACTTCTTCTTTGTCGATATATTTGCCGTTTCTCTTTTTAAATCGTCCAAATCCAAGAGTTGAGGGAGGTGGAGGTACTTCTTTGTGCATGTTTTTTTTTGTTGCTTCGTTTATGATCGAAGTATGTTTCTGTTCTTCTCTCCCACTTCTCGTGGAACTAAGTAAATGGGAGTGTTCATATTAATAAAACATGTATCCCCATTCCCCATATTTTCGTGTGATCAAGTTGCTGTTGTTGTTAATATTATTATTAAGAATGACCAGAACATATACGGCTTTGTTATACTCCAGTCATCATTTACTAAATATATATCCTCAGGATATTTTTCCACGCTGTGCAATGCACATTCACACACACACACACACACACAAAAAAAATACTAAATTTGGATCAAACTTAAATTATGGATTTGAATAAGAGATCTGCCAATAAAATATGTTTAGAAGTAATTTATACTTTCGTTTACTTTTTGCTCATTAACCACTATCTCAAGACCTGTTTCCAGGCTGTAGCACATTCAAAGAGAAGATAAACAAGATTAATTAGATCCATGTTATATCCAGAATTTAAATAACAGAGCTCTATAATTACTGGGTTAGGATCACAAGTTTTATAGCATAGACTTGGCATTTATGTGTGCCACCATTGCTCTGGCCACCATCACTCAGAACAGGGCAGAGTAAACGCTGCAAGAGATGCACGAGAAAGTACTGTATAATTTTAAAAGACCTAGTCAAGTGGTCATATCAACAATGTTGTACATTTTCGAGAACCTGCGGTTTCACGACCATATTACGCTATCAAATGTGACAAATTTTGAAAGATTATATATGTTTTAGTTCTATATATCTAAAAATTCAAAAAAAAAATCCCAAAATTGTAAACATTTCAAAAGTGGAAAACTAACGTAACATAGTTTCTTTGAAAAAGTAATAATAAATAACCCCTAGAGAATAAAAGAAAACCATATAAAAACCCCCAAGAAAGACGAAATCACTAGTAACGGCAACACGTCCTGTAGAAAAACTGTCTTGACCATCTCAACATGCATCCACCTTCGCTTCTTTCTACACGAATCCATTACATTCTTTATCTTCACTTCATCGTCTTCTTTGCTGTAACGAGAGATTAGCAAACACGGTATTTGAGTATCGAAATCAGGTCCTTCGGGTTGCCACTCTCCATATATCTTCTCAGCTCCTTCTGCATCGTCTAGCTTCAACAAAGAGCTAATCACAATACGATATCCTTCATCCCAAGTCTTTCCTATCTTTCCCATCTCCAACTTAGAGGTACTCATATCTATTTTTAAATCTTCATTTGCCTTGTACTTGTACATATTCCATAGACGGTTCACTTCTCTGTTACTTGTCGTCATCTCTATCGCCTTTAGTATTAGGCCGGATTTTTCGTAAGCCTTTGCCATTGCATCCATCGTCCTCACTTCAAGTTTGGTTATTTTATTATCATCATCATTAGCCCACTCTCTCTGATACTTCTCCATCGAGTCTATGGCGGATATGTCTGCGTTTACTCTCAAAACGTTGTTCATCGTGACACTATCAGGCTCAATATTGTTCTGCTTCATATCAGATACAAGCTTATTGACCTTACTTCGTTTTAGTAGCTCACTGTAGAGAGATATCATCAAGCTGAATGGGTAAAGTTTGGAGAGGATACCTAGCTCTCTCATCTTCTCAAAAATGGCTTCCGCTTTAACTAGAGTTCTATCTGATTTTGTGTACAAGGTTAAAAGTGTAGCGTAAACAGAGTAATCCTTCATGTTCTCCGGGATGCTGCTTTCGAAAAACTTCTCTGCTTCTTCCAACCCCAAAACTCTCCAAGTCAGTTGAAGCCTAGTTGCATAATCTTCTGAGAAGAGTTTGAACACTTTTTTTTCACACATCCATGATGATGCCTCAAGTGCTTTGGTGAACTGGAATGAATCACGCAGGTTCCTGATGAGGTCTCTCAAGTCCGACGGACTCGCTTGATTACCCTTTTTCCCCAGTTCAACCAGAAACGGAGTGATTGGTTTAACCAATCCTCTGGTCCTCATAGTCTTGCTCATCAGTTTCTCTGCCTTCTTCACCAATCCCTTTTTTCGATAAGCCGACACCAACATATTCGGTATTCGGATATCGCAGTTAAGACCCGAGTACTCCCACTCATTGTGGTATACCTCCTCTGCTCCTTTGAGATCACCAAGCTTCAGGAGAGAAGCTATCAAAGTTATAAATCCCTCATTGTCCTTATATCTTGTCTTCTTGTACAGGTCCCATATACGGTATACATCTTCTCTCTCTCCTGCTTCACCATATAGCCTCATGAGTTCCTCATAGAACTCGACACCCATATATACCTCTCCTGTACGAAGCATCTCTCTAGCCTTTCCCTTTGAACCATCTCTCAGGTAAGCCTTTGCCATGTCAAGTGTTGTGTGCCACTCAAGCTTTGTAATTGCACTCCATTCAGCTAGAAACTTGTCCATTGTCGCAACATCAGATACATCAGCGTATGCTCGCAAAGCGTTGTTCACGGTGACACTATCGAACTCAACGTTGTTCTCCTTCATCTCACGCAGAATCTCATCGACCTTATCTCTGTTTCCGAGAGAGTTATAGATTGATGTCATCGAGTTGTACGGTGAAGGTCTCAAGAGCAAACCTAGCTTCTTCATCTTCTTATAAGTAGATTCGGCTCTACCCAGAGCTCTTCCCCCGGGTTGGCTTGAGTAACTTCTTAACAGAGAAGTGTAGATCGATTCACATCGCATATTCTCAGGGATGCTCACGAAGAACTTCTCTGCTTCTTCCAGACCTAAAACGTTATCAATCAGATGGAATCGAGCTGCGAAGTCTTCCGGGACTAGATTGCAGATCTTTTGTTTTACCATCCACTCTGATACCTCTAGGGCTTGGCTAAATCGGTTGGAGTTGCGGAGCTTCTCGAAGATACCTCTCACCAACGAAGGGTTTAAGTGATTCCCCTCTTTTTGCTGCTGTAGTCGCCATTGCTCAAGCACCGTAGTGACTGCTGCTTTCTGATCTAAAGCCGCTTCGATCCGACTCAGTAGAGTTTGGTTCGTCACCGGAGACGGTAGGGTTCCATTTCTGTAGGAGCAGAAGAATCGAGGCCTGCTAGTGTAAGCGATAATTCGCTTTGCGTGTTGCTGAAGATTATACTTCATGATCATGTTTGGTGACGATGATGATACAGAGCAAATCTAGGGCTTTGCTTAAATTTTTTGCAACTAAATCGATTTATATTATATATATTACTGAGGTTAATTGGTTTTAAAAAAGCGGGTAAGCTTCTCGAAATTTATGGCCCAATAGATTGTAACTTCCTAGTTTTGTAATTAAAAATCTTGAAGATACAACAAGTTAGGGCTTTTTACTTGAGTTAGGGGTAAAACAAGTCTTATACGTAGTTTGTTTTGCAAAGATTTGTAGTTATCTCGTTTTGTTTTACCAAACAGCCGACACTTTCATGTTCATGGTGCTTTTCAGTTGATTTTTGTTTCTGTCTCTTTCATTCTATTCCATTTTTCAATATAATGTACATGGTAAAAAATTTTAATGAAAGCTTTTGGATGATATATAATAATATAAACTTGTTAAGACCACCAATTTTGAAAATTAGGAGGTTAAGAACGTGTTGATTAGTTTTAAAATTTTTGGCTCTCCAATGGTTGCACTCCATATTAGGTGCTTTAAAAAACAAAAAATTTGTTTTATATTTTTCTCCAGCTACTCACAAACTGACACACTGGGTCCTTAACTAATTATCAACACACAATCTAAACAACAGTTCTTAAGGTTTTATTTTTCTTTTGCATTTAATTAATCTTATTTAATATTAAACAACTTCTTAAGACCATCCTCATTGCTAGTATCTTAGGGGGTAAGAGCAACTCCATTGGCATTGCTTAATGGGAAGCTTAAGACATTGCCTATATTTATTGCATTATATTTAATGTAAATCAAGCACTTTTCATAAGCTTTGTTGTCTAAATTAACTCTTTAAGCAAAGGTTAAGGGTCACTTATGAATTTATTTTTAAAAAATTAATGCAAAAAAATGAATAAGCACCCTCCCATGTTTCTAACCATTGGAGATGGTCTAAGATCTCCTAAGATTTGCAAAAGAATTATCTTATATAAGGATTTTCCTTTACAAATCTTAAGGGATCTTACCCCCTAAAATACTAGCAATGAGGATGCCCTAAGATATCAATAAGCACCCACTTTGGAGGTGCTATTATTTTGGGAATGCATATTAAAATCAAAGGAAAACAAATTTGGATGGTGAGAAGAACACGGAATTAGAAAGACAATATATAAGCAACTAAGTTTTCGAGATTTCGAAATGATGAACCTCCAAGCTTAAGGCATTGTTCAGCAGTTTCCTTCATTGGCATAATCCTCTTGCGAATCTCTTCTCCTTCTGAGCTTGTCATTAGTGTTCTAATAGCGTTCTCAACCTCTAGTCTCTCTATCCTGTTCTCCAAATGCAATCCGATCTTCCAAACATCGCTAATGTACCTAGCATTCACCCTCTGGTCCCCAAAAGAGGGTTTGCAAATCAATGGTATAGCTTCACATATGGCCTCAAGTGTCGAGTTCCATCCACAGTGTGTTAAGAATCCGCCTGTTGCACGGTGAGCTAAAACTTCAGGCTGAGGTGCCCATTTCACTATTTTACCCCGACCTTGGAGACTTTCGATGAACCCTTTAGGCAGAATCTCTATCAGGTCCTTGCCGTGGATCGAACCTGGTCTAACCACCCATAGAAAAGGCTGGTTGCTGTTTCTTAGACCCCAAGCGATCTCCAAGAACTCAGATTCGTCAATCGAGGCAATGCTCCCAAGACTTGCATAGATTACAGAGTTTGTTGCTTGCTTGTCTAACCAGGAGAGACAGGTCATGTCTTGTGCAAGTAAGCTACTCGATGAAGCTGAAACGTACCTGTGGAAGGGTCCAATAGAGAAGAGTGGTACTGGGAATTCTTTAAGGGATTGGTCAAGCTGATCTGGTTCAAGATCTTCAATGGCGTTGAATATTATCCCTGAGGAAGACTTCATTGACTTCATCGTACCTCTCTGTAACTTATCCCCTGATCTTGGATCTTCTGTCTGGAACCATGGAAGATCTTTCATTTTAAGATATGGAAGCTCAGGAACAGGTGAGTCTCCCTGAGACTCTGCCATGGAGAGAGAAGAAAAGTCAACGGAAGTGAACGAAAACTAGCTAGAGATAAATCTTGAAAATTTCGATATGTACATACCTTGTAAAGAAAGATACCCTTTCTCTCGTAAGACATGAAACTTGGAGAAAGCGACGAAAGATGAGAGGTTAACCGTTCGGAGTACAATCCTCGGGATACTGAATTTTTCAGTTAAACCGTCGGTGAAGTACCAAAGAGCATCTACAATGACACAAGCTGCAGTTGGTTCTTCAGACAAAAGCTTCTTTAAGCAATCATTAAAAGGAGCAACACACTTGGAATTGAGGTCATGGAGAATCTCGATGACATCGGGGTATGATTCAGGTTCGGACAAGCCATCGGAGATGGAGACGAAAGTGAAATGAGGGAAATTGGAAAAATTTGGAGCGTTAAACTCAGTGTGGATGACAGTGATGGAGAAGCCGTGGTTGAAGAAGATCTTGGCAAGTTGAAACATTGGGTTTAAGTGACCTTGTAAAGGGAAAGTAAAGAGAAAAATCACTGGTTTTGTGTCTTTAGTCACCATTTTTGTTCTGTTTCTCTCTCTTTAAGTTCTTGTCCACACAGGTAATTGGCTGTTATATATGTAATATGTGCAAAGACTTAGAGACGAAAGCTCTACGTCAATATGATAACGTCATATGCTGATTTCATCTAAAGATATATTTAAAACGAGTCTAGCTACTTTGTTCTTAAACAATGACCAAATGCATGTGGGGTTATCAAACTTGTTATTAAACAATCCATGTTTATATTTTATATCATGTGAAGGTGTTCAATTTGATAATTTTATTTGTTGCTAAATTTAGAAAAAATAGAGGTTGAGTTGTAACTGGCAACCAATTTGGTCTACTTTAAACTGTTATTTATATGCAATTTGTGGTCGATTATGATAAATTGATGATGAAAGCCGTACGTAAAACAATGCGAACTAGGCTTTGTCGAATAAAAGAAAGAAGAAGCCAATGTTTACAGAAGATGAGAGATGAAGACAAAACTGTCACCATCTTTACAACATATAACTCCAAAATTGCTTGACTTAGACTTGCTTATTTTAGGTTCTGGACACACAACTTGCTTTTATTCGTGTCTTTTTACAAGACTCGATTGTCTGACTAAGCTCATTTAAATAAGTTTAACATGTACTTAACCCGGTGGTTATAGTGTCCACATTTGGTTTAGTCGAGACACCAACAGCCTGATGAGTCAGAAAGTTGGCAAACGTAACGGTCGATTTTATTTAGAACGGTTTCTCGCATTTTCTTTTTGTTCATCTTTACAAAAATGTAACATACAAAAAGTTAAGATATATAGAGGGTAATTTAACAAAACATGCACATCAATAATGGCACAAGTCATTCATCGTCACATGTAATATGTATGGTCCACCTTAGTAAACGCCTCGTAGAATATTCTCCGAACCATATTAGGGTCTGCGGTCTACCGTCTAAACTCGGATGTCCTCATATATCACATCTACGTAGCAAACCCAACCTTGAATCCATATATGAACTCTTTTCATTTTGAAGATCCAAATTTTTCATCTAGCTAAGCCCATTACAACATATTCTAGAGCATATCCAATTTTTTTTTTATCTAAACCCATTAACATATTCATGGACTCGAGTTCATCTTTCGAATTTTCGTCTTTAAATTCTTAATTTTTTTTTCTCTCTTTTCTTTTTTAACAAAAACATTCTCTCTTTTCCGGACTAGTAAAAATTCAACATTCTATCATAACACTATTAATACTAACATTTAAATCTAATACGATGATTACTTACTTTTAAAAATAAACATCGTCTTAGTTTATATATTTAAATTGTTTAGAAAAAAAAGAAATATCACTTCAGTTATCTAAGTTTAGAGAAAATATGAAAATATTTATATTTTTTTGCTCACTATAATAATTTACCTTAATCAAGAGATATCTTCACTATTATTCTAGATTATTATGAAAATATAATAAATTATTCTAATTAAGAAGATATATAATTTAATATTTAGATTAAACACCAAAACAAGTTTACACGTGTCAACGTAGCATCATAGAAGAAACAGAGAAGGCGAACAACAACAACATAGAACGTGAGGGGAGAGACAAAACTCACCACTTTCGATCCTTTCCTGCCGCTTGATCCAAATCAACTTCAATCTTCAATCTTCAATCTTCTCCAGATTCAGATTCCAAATCTTCAAAGCAAAACAATGGCGGCAGAACCTAACCCTAAGAATTTCCCAGTCCTCTCTTACGTCCTGGCTCGTCTCCCTTCTTTCACCACCAAATCCCCTTCCTCCTCCGCCGTTCCTCCCTTCAATATCGAGCAATCACCATCATCGAGCCATTCGATCGAGATCGTTACTCAGATGCCTCATTTGACTCAACCAGATGTTCTCGCTTCCATGACCAGTGCGATCTCTGACGTCGCCGAGACTCGATCTATCCTCCGAACCCTAGGACCTAGACCCGATCACGAGTCAGTCGACAAGGCTCGTGTTAAGCTCTCGGAGATCGAATCTTCCTTATCTGAATCGTTTGAGGACATCGCGCTTACCGACGCGGCTGCTAAAGATGAGAAGAGGAGGCTAGAGATGGATCAGGATAAGACTTGGTGTGAGTCGATTTTGAAGCTTGATGAGGTCCACGCTTCCTATGAGAAGCTTTTGAAAGAAGCAGAGGAGAGGCTTGTGAGGATTTATGAGTCTGCTGAGAAGAATGCCGCCGAGGATGAGGATAATGTTGCGGCGGTTGAGGTTAACGAGGAGGTTGTTGGGATATTGCAGCACGCTTCCGCTAATCCGGTGGATCGTATTGATTTGTCTGGGAGGAAACTCAGATTGCTTCCTGAAGCATTTGGGAGGATTCAAGGCTTGCTTGTTCTCAATCTCTCCAACAATAAGCTTGAGGTCACTTCTTCTACTATTTCCAATATCAAAATCATAAATTTGCTACTTTTTTGCTTATTTTACCCACTCTCTTTGATATAACTAAGCTGATCTCTGTTCTCTGCTGGGGTCTGAATCTGTTATGTGCTTGTCTCTGTTAAAAGGATGAAACTTAAGTTTAGGATTTGATAACTTGGTAATCTTCAATGTAGCTTAAAGGTAACATTTTTGGGCATTGTAGTGTAATACAATGGTGTGATGTAAGCAATCCCTTTAGAGAGATCTCAAAATTGCTCGTAGCATTTCTTTTCTATCTTGGTGCTGATGTGATTTGAAGAGATTTAGGTATGTGTGTGTGTTTGATTTTGTTTTGCGTCTTAGATTTTGACCTTTACTACCTGTAGTGTATGTGCGTGTTTGCTTGTTTTGGTTCAGTTCTTTGATATTGCAGTGTTTAGTATTGTTGTGGCATGGGTTGATTAACATTTTGCAAGTGATTCCATGCGAGCTCTTTTCTTGATTGTTCTGAGGTATATTAGAATCTATGTCTCCGCAATAGTTTTCTTGATTTCTTTGTGATACCTAATCAATGTAGAATAATTCACTTGCTGTATTCCACTTGTCTTACCTGACTGAGGTTTATGTCCAACAGGCGATTCCTGATTCAATAGCTGGATTACATAGTCTTGTTGAACTGGATGTCTCCACGAATTCTCTGGAGACATTACCTGATTCTATCGGTTTACTCTCCAAGCTGAAAGTCCTGAATGTTTCGACCAACAAGCTCTCTGCTTTGCCTGATTCCATCTGTCGTTGTGGGTACGTATTATATACAAACTCCGCTTTGTCAAGTTTCATTTGTGAATCAGTTTTAACCACTTCTTGCATGGAAACCCCAGGTCATTGGTTGTCTTGGACGTGAGCTTCAACCGTCTCACCTACTTGCCAACCAACATCGGATTTGAGCTAGTGAATCTAGAAAAGCTCCTGATCCAATATAACAAGATCCGATCCTTCCCTACCAGTATAGGCGAAATGAGATCCCTAAAACACATCGACGCCCACTTCAACGAACTGCACGGCCTTCCTGATTCTTTCGTGTTGCTAACAAACCTCGAGTACTTAAACCTAAGTAGCAACTTCAGTGACCTCAAGGAGCTACCTTTCTCATTTGGTGACCTCGTAAGCCTCGAAGAACTTGACTTGAGTAACAACCAAATCCATGCCCTCCCAGACACTTTTGGCACACTCCATAGCCTGACCAAACTGAACGTGGAGCAGAACCCGCTCATGGTCCCACCCAAGGAAGTGGTGAAGGAAGGTGTGGAAGCTGTGAAGACATACATGGGTCAGAGAAGGATCACTATCTTGGAAGAAGAAGAGAAGATGAGAATGGAGAAGGAGATGGAGCAGGCAAACGCCGGGTGGCTCACAAGAACCACATCGAAACTGAAAACTTATGTGACAGATGTTTCAGAGTATCTCGGATCGCCGTCTTCTCGAGACCATTACCTTGACCAACAGCTATAATGTGACTTGGGCTCGAAGAACAATGAATCAAAAGAGGTTGTTATTCTCCTTTTGGCTGGTTTTGTCTCAATTTTTTCTCTTATCATTCAGTATATAATGAAGGGCTCTCTTCGTTACTGTGTTGTCTGCGTGTGATTCTTTTTGACGGGTAAGGCCTGTCATTAACTTACTTAGGTTCAAACTTAAAAAGAGACCGGTGATGTGATAATATCATGGGTCCAACTAATAAAAAGATACATTTTTTTTTTAATTTGTTTAGCCTCAGTTATTGTATTTTGCCCTTTCTAAAGAAAACAATAAGGTGTGGGAATCTTACATCAAACTATAAAAAGCTCCTGATTCAATGATGGTGCCCTGTGTAAATTTGTAAAAAATTAACTTTGAATCTGTTGATCTTCCCCAAGATATCCATAAATAAATAAATTCACGCCGCCAAAAACCATAAAGTATCGCTAATTTGTATGTTGATGAAAAAAGGCCTCATCGAGGTCTTGTAAGACCGACCAATACGATTTGTTACAACGTTCATATCTTCATGTCATCATGTGAGGTAACTTAGCACTGTTGAAGGAATCTCACATGATAAAATGTTTATGTAAGAATCTTACATAAAACATTTTCAAAAGATCATGGAATAACAATTTAATCCATCAAATTTTCGACACTATTAATGTTACAACTTGCGTACACCATATGAAGAGTTTTTGCATATACCAAGTGTCTTTGTATATAGTTTTTCAATATTAATGTTATTAACCAAAACACAAACAAGTGATCACAATAAAGATGTAATTTTTTTATTTATTTAATAAAGATGTAATTCAAAGTGAATTTAAATATAAAACAAAAGCTTCGGGTGGGCGTGATCACTCTCCACAACTTAACGGAAAGCATAGATGCTCCCCTTAGACCTGATCAATCTGTTTGCTGAATCTTTCCCAACGATCCTTGCCAGCTACAAATAACCATCACATTCGATCCATATAAAAAAAAACTTGCATCAGAAAATTCACTTATCAAATTGGTGCTACTGAGTGAACTAACTCTACTTAACTTGTTTCAGAATTAACATGTCAAGCAAAACCAATTTGGAGTTTGTTGTATAGGAAAATACTGAGAGGAAAAACAAAAAAAAAATGGTCTCTAAGCTAAAATTTTCCTACTTCAGAATTGAGGAACTACTAAGTCTGTATATACATCCTTGGAACTAGTAAGTAGTATGGAGGACAGAAAATGACTCTCATTTGTGTAAAAACCATCAGAAGATTACGTACCTGGTGCTGATCAAAACGAGAAAAAAGCACAGTAGCCTCCATGTCATGTGATTCTTCAAGCATGTTCATTATCCGAGGGTAATACTTCTTCCGCTCCGGAAGGGAATAGAAAATTAACTGCTTTATGCCACGGATCTGAATCCCGAGAAACCGACAATGAGCACAACAGTAATTCATCACAACCTAAAACAAAAGATGAACACAAAAAAAAACCTTGTATCCCCAAAAGAAGTATGCTCTCTCAGTGTAAAGCATGATCTGTTTGCTCCCGTTAAAAAACTCAAGTCGTGCACGGGACTTAACATCGTTAGTTGCATCTCTGAAAAGGAGAGTCACCATTAACTATCATCCAATCAATTAAACAAATCCACATAAACACAATGTTTCAAATTAGGGGAAAGAATGGTCTCACTCGTCAATATAACAGAAAGAGGCTTTTTGCGACTTCAGAAACATTCTAAGCTTGCTGTACTCGTAGGAAGAATTGATAAAGATCATTACTCCACCCTACAAAAATGATTACCAAATACGACAAAATCAAGCTCCCAAAATTTACGTGATAGCAAAGACTGTCTTCTATTAAGTATAGACATCAAAATTGCTCAACCTTTCAATGATAGGAGTACCTGAACAGAATCTCGAATCCTTGGGAACACCTGTACCAAAAGGAAGAAGAGAATCAGTATCTAGCAATTAGAAACATAATAAAAGTACAATCTATTTAGTAACACTACTTTCAATGGGTACATAAACAAAAATTCAAACCTATACCTTGTTGGCAAAATATTCAAGACGTGCAGTGTCAGCTTGGAGCATGGAGGTTGCATCAAATCTTTTATAAATCTGCAACAAAGACGAAAGAGATAAGATATCTACAACTTTTATGTTGAACTATAAGATGATATTATACCTGAGTGACATTGCACAACACTTCATGAAGAACACCATCGTACGCACACTCCAGTTTCATCTGCATTGATTCAACTAATCGCATGATGGGATAAATTTTAATTTAAAAAAAAAATACAGCAATCTTGGTTTGGAGACATAATGGTTCTACAGTAGTAGTAGTTTCTGGCCTAGCCATCCCGTCAATCATCTAATACCCTCACAACAAAAGAGAAATCCCACACCCACCTTTCCTTTATAGTTCAAGCACTGATGATTGAACAGAGAATTCAATTCTGAAAAGAAATATTCTCCGGGTTAGTAATACGAGCATGAATACTTAACCATGATCAGGTGTTATGGAAATATATATATAGCAATAAGGGCAGACAAAATGGAATATTGCCACAAGTGAAAAAAAAAAGTGGGCAGAACAAAACCTGCGGTTAAATGAGAGCTTATAATTATTGACTGCCGATAGAACCGTGCATGTCCATCCAGATACCTAATAAACATAAGACTGATTTTACTGAGAGATTCTGACATAGTTGGGCACATATATATCTTCTTAGAGAGAATAAGTTGCAAGTTAGAAGAAGAATTTAGTACATACCACGGTCGGACTCGCATGATATTGGTGGTATCATGTTGTTTTGATGGCAATCTATTTAATTGTTTGAAGACTATATCAATGTGCTTCCAATACTGCATAGACATCAATACATCTGCATGATCGATAACCAAAACCTATCCACATGTAAATGAAAGAAATATTAGTAAGTTCAACAAGGAGATGCACAATGTGACTTAAAAGTATTTGCAACCACTGGCAGAAACAGACGGGGTTTAGGAGAGAAAACAATGGTAGTCTAAAATGTAACTGATCCATTCCATGTTGGCATCAATGATAAACAAAATTAATTACCTCGATGGAGGACAGATAATCAACATCTTTTCCAATATGATCTTCTGCTTTACCAATGGCTTCAACTAACCCAAGGGGTGAAGCAATAATCATGTCCGAGGAATTGAAATCACCGTACAGCCTAATGCTCTCCTTTGTATGCTCAATGCCTATCATAAAGGCATCATCATATGCAGCGTTCCCCTCACCAATAAGGGCTTCCCAATCGTAAGGTTTTTTTGGTATCACATTTTCCGATGTGAGTCCAAAATTCTTATCAAACCGGTCAAGCTGTTGTACATTAACCTGAAACCAATAAATCCAGGCAACTCAAGATATAATCCGTAATTTGAGACAATATCTCAATGATATTCACCACAATTCTTTCTACATTGCTAATAATCAAAATATTACTGATCTGTGAGACCATAGAATAAGGCAACCCAGCCACAGAGCAGATGCCAACAAAGAAATAAATGAGTGAATTTTTGTATACCCTCTGAGATTCTGGAGTTAGTTGAATGAGCCTCATCACGGCGCGAAAAGCAGTACACTTGTATGGAAGTAGAATCAGTACCTGGATATGCATACAATAAATTTGTCAAATGCGAGTAGCAACTGATTTGATCACAAAAGGGGTCGTCGTCACCTTTGGACGAGTAAATCCTTGGTCTCGCAATCCATCATCAGAAAGAATTTCCTCTACAGAGAGACTGTGAATCTTACATTCATTCTTCTTGACAAGATCTCTACTTCTAAAAATGTGATTCAACTGCATAAGACAAACTGATGACTTCAACAAAGCTATAGGAGAAAATGCCAAGTGGAATGAAAAGCAATCAACAGAAAGAAAAAAAAGGAATATAAAGTATATATGCACACACAGAATGCATAAGGTATGCGTCCATGTGACCGGAGTCTTCTCCACGGCCTCCATTCTTATTAGAATGAAAAACATCCATATAGCTGTTGCCTAGAAAATATCAAAAATACTATAGTCAATATATGTGAGAAGTATATATAACAAGACCAAAAGAAAATACAAAGGGGTAATTCCAAGAATCAGATAATACATACAAATGGAGAAGAATCTTCTTCTGTTAGACGAGCCAAAATCTTTTCCTCCAGATTTCTCGTATAACTGAAGCCAGTGCTTATATAACTTAGGCTTGAGACCATAAGTTGGATCACTCTGAGCAACCTGAAGAAGTAAATGAAGGGCGGCTTTTAGTGCTACTTGTGATTCCTAAGTGTAGGGAAGGCAAACTCTGCAACAATATTTTTGTTGTTGTTGGACAATGTTATAAGAAGACATACATGAAGAAAATTTGGTCTAGTTCCTCTCCAGATGCAATTTGGCATGCCAATGGCAGGTGCTTCCCATTGAAACTTCCATTTGCCTTTTGGTAAAGTATCTAATTCTTTAGATGATAATATGTGACTAAGGTGCTCTCTAAATGAACTAGTATATGAAGATTGGCCATTGGTACACAACTCATTCTCCACATCATCCGTTTCACAAGCCTCAAAATCTTCTTCTTCCTTGTTATGATTATCATTATTCTCCTGCCCTGTGTTCCTAGTAAGACCTCCGAGACTTTCCTGACCAGCCCCTTCAGTAAAGACAAGATAAGAAGTATGATTTAGACCAATGAATGCAACAAGTGCAAGAAGACAACCAAAAAGCCCGTGATGAGTAACTAGAGAGAGAGAGAGAGAGAGAGAGAGAGAGGAGTATGCAAAAAAGGATAGAAACTGACAATAAGAAAAGGAAAAGCATACCTTGAATCTCTTCATCCTCTGCAGACCCACTGTTTTCCTCATCCTCAACTCCTTCTTTGTCGCTTTTACCTTCCTTCTTCCTCACCCTGTTAAAATATTTGGAAACATAGAGTAAGTACAATTACACGTACATCAATGCAAATAACCACAGTTACAAACTAAATGATTTAAACTTGGCAACACAGTAAACGTACCTTCTTTTTTTCATACGGGCAACAACTTTTTTCGAACAACCGAGAGATGCCAGCAAATTACCATACATTGTCGGTTCTCTATAACAAACCATTTCTTCCGATTCTGCAAGAATCAGACAAGAGTTAATAATCTGAGTTGTCGATCGTCATACAATCTGAAAACAACTGCAAAAATGACCAAGAGCTAAGATACCTAGAACCGGATCACGTTCACACTCGTTGATATTTTCCTGTGGCCTGTGCCTCTTCAGCACTCGAATATTGTTTGGAGCCATCGATAGAAGCTACGTGAGAGATTCATTCAGGAGTACTAGTAGTTAGGAGAATCTAAAAGTATTAATCATTTTTAGTTAAACAAGTTTAACAAAGAATGGGAATGAAATTTACCTTTCTGGGTCTGTATGTGACAGCAATGGTACCACTAGGGTTAACTGAGCCAGTAGCCGATACAAATTTGGGATTCCTCTGTCTCTTCCTTTTGCCCAAAGTTATCGTTACCTTTCCCTGAAATTCTCAAAATGTTCCACCACACAATAAGAGATGGTTTCGCGGGCTAATAGAAGTGATAGGGAAGAGAGAGGAAGGATCACCATTGGAGCGAACTGGTGTTGAAAGAAAACCCCAAGTTCGGCCGCTTCGGCGAAGAAGAAACCCTTACCTCTCAACACTTTAACGTGTGTGGGACGTTTGGTTCCATGGGCCTTTACATACATAAATGGGCTTTAAATATTTTTGTAAGATGGGGCCAAATTGCCAATGATGTAAGATTCCTATCGTACATCAAACTAAATAAGCGCAAGAAAAGCTCCTGATCCAATGATGTGCCTTGTGTAACATTTGTAAAAATTAACTGTGAATCTGTTGATCTTCTCGAAGACATCCAACAATAAATTACTCCAATGATCATATTATTAAAGGTCAAAATCACGAGCTGGTAGCTTTCGCGCCGCCAGAAACCATATAGATCCATCGTTTCTGCAGATTTGGTTCCACACTTATCAACCAATACGCACATGCTTCTCCTTTGGAAACAACGTAGTCTTTATTATCACAATTCACACTAATTGCTTCTTCACTCTTAAGTTTTCATTCAATTTCTACCTAATCCTTTGTCTCTTAAAAAGATTACACGGAGAATGAGAAATAAATTGTTTTCCAATAAGTGAATAAGATGACCCCGGCTTAAATACCCTTAACCGGTTTAAACCAAACCTGACGAACACTCAACCGCTTTTCTGGATAATAATGAAAATGTCATTGAGTTTGTTGAGACCTACACTAACCAATCACCTGAACCGCAACCACTCGAGTTAAATCGAACATTCTTCTTCGTTTCAAGTGTCTCCTTCACCGCATTAACAACGATACAATAACTTGCGCACTTGCGCGCGAACAAAATGTCTTCCTATATATTTTTTCGACATTAATGTTAATAACCAAAAAATCACAAGTCACAAACACTTAAATAACAAAGCAAAACAAATTCAGAAATGGGGTGATATTAATGTTACTAACTAAAATATGTAAAAACGAATATAATACATCTAAAGCGGGTCATTGCATTAACTAGAGCCAGCTCCATACAATCCTACTATTTCTATATAACATTAACTCTTGATCCGTGATTCCGTTCTAATTTTCAAACAAACCAAAGGAAAAAAAAAAAAAAAAGAAAGAAGAGAACTCAATATACAAGATGGTAATGCACAGATCGAGTACGACGTCTTATTCGGTGGTGTCGGAGTTTGAAGGAACATTACTGAAAAACAAGGATTCGTTCTCTTACTTCATGCTCCTTGCCTTCGATGCATCTGGTCTGATTCGTTTCGCAGTCTTGCTGTTTCTCTGTCCCGTCATCAAACTTCTTGACGTTTTCGGCTACAATGACGCCGCTCTCAAGCTCATGGTCTTCATAGCCACGGTTGGTCTAAGCCAAGGGGAGATTGAAGCGGTGGCTAGAACCGTCTTGCCGAAGTTCTACATGGATGACATAAGCATGGACACGTGGAAGGCTTTCAGCTCGTGTAAGAAGAGGGTCGTGGTGACGAGGATGCCTCGGGTTATGGTGGAAAGGTTCGCGAAGGAGCATCTCATAGCAGATTTGGTCATCGGTACGGAACTGAACGTGAACAGGTTCGGTTTTGTCACCGGCTTTATACGTGAAGCCGATATCGATCAGTCTATTTTGAACCGTGTCGCTGATTTATTTGTTGACCGAAGACCTCATCTAGGTCTTGGAAGAACCTCAGTTACGACTTCTACGACTTTCTTATCGTTATGTGAGGTAACGTTTTAAATTGCATAATTTAGATAATTAACATTTTCAGTGGAATTCAAATCTATTTTTCAACAACTCTAAGTGATAAATATTAAAGCGTAGGTACCAGTAACATGGATACATCACTTTAATCCTCTGTATCCATCTCTTTTATAATATGCCATTCTTTAAATACTCAAATCATATAGTGATCACTATTTAGACCTAATTTACACATAACAACAGATTCATGCATCGGTTCCGGAGAAGAACGTGAACCAACAGCTAGAGCTGCGGCCGGTTCCTGTGATTTTTCACGACGGGCGCCTTGTGAAGCGGCCAACACCAGCCACGGCTCTCCTCATCCTCGTCTGGCTCCCATTTGGAATCATTCTTTCTCCCATCAGGATCCTTTCCGGGTTGATGGTTCCATTGTGGATCAGAACTTATGCCATGAGACTATTAGGCTGCCAAATCATCGTCAAGGGAAAGCCTCCTCAGCCACGAGGAGCCGGAAACTCTGGCGTTCTCTTTGTATGTAACCATAGAACCTTAATGGACCCGGTTGTAATATCCACCGTGCTGGGGCGCAGCGTCATGGCGGTTGTATACTCCCTTTCGCGGTTTTGCAACCTCTTTGCTCCGATTCCCATCGTTCGAATACAAAGAATCCGAGACATCGATGCCAAGACGATCAAACAAGAACTATCCAAAGGAGACCTAGTGATTTGCCCCGAGGGAACAACTTGCCGTCAACCGTTTCTGCTAAGATTTAGCGCGCTTTTCTCGGAGCTAACGGACATGATCGTGCCGGTGGCGGTAAACAGTAGAGTTGGACTCTTCCACGCGAACACCGTGAGAGGCTGGAGATGTATGGACATGATATTCTTCTTCATGAACCCGAGACCATGTTACGAAGTGACGTTCCTGAACAAGCTGCCAATGGAGGCCACGTGTTTATCGGGGAAAAGGACACCCTATGATGTGGCGAACGATGTTCAGAAAGTCTTGGCAGATACGTTAGGGTTCGAGTGCACTAACCTAACGAGGAAAGATAAGTATAAAGTTCTCACTGGAAAGGATGGGACGGTGTCGTATGTGTCGTTTCAGGACCAAGCTAAGAAGATCATTAACACTTTCAATCCCTTTTCCAACTGAATAATGTTAGACTATACAATTTCGACGTCAATAAGCTCACTTTCCATACTCTCTTCAATAACTCTGTTTTACGTTTTACAAGTTCATCCGCAAGTTTGCTAATTTGAAAGATCGAAATATCGTATGGTTTTGTAAAAGCCCAAAGGGCTTAAAATCTAATTTGTATTTGGGCCTATTTTTAGTGATTATTGGCATCTTTAATTCTTTATTATGCTAATTTTATAGTGGAATGTGCATGATACTGACTGATACAGCAATATAGTAAAACAGACCACACTGGTTGGTAACAAGGGTTACGCTTTGGACTAGCTTCCGACTGAGATTTGAGACCACGTGTTCATCCGGGGAATAGGCCGTATGATCTTGCAATGCATGTTCAGAGAATCTTGGCGGATACGTTAGGTTTAGAATATTGCAGTAACTTCACGAGAAAGGATTGAATAGCAAAAGCTGCTCACTTGGGGAAAACAAGTCGTCGCTTAAGGACTAAAGCTAAGAAAGTTATAATTCAATCCACACGTACGTCATTCTACAAATTAAGCATCAATTAGACGTTGGTTATGAAATTAAGCTAATTATATTTAAGAAAGTGATGTACTTTAGCAAGAAAACGCGTTGAGGAGACACCTATCATCATCCGATGGTTGAGTAAAATGGATTATTGTATGACCACAAAAGTCGTGTAACCCTCAACTTTTCCATTAATTTATATATGGATATATAACGAACAATATTTGAATAATTGTACCGATAGAAAAAAAAAATCATTCATGGGAATCAAACCAAACAATTGACATTTCAACGACGTGTCTGTTACTACGTACAAATATATAATTATTGGTCGGTATATGTATAACGTCTATAAAAATATTTAAAACCTAGTTGTATGATAAAAAGAATAACAAATATCATCAAGTATTGTTTTCTTTGTTCACGAATCCTTTTAAAATTCACGTTTATGTTAGAAAAACTGAGAGATGACAAAAAAAAAAAATGTTAGAAAAACTGAGTCGAAATCAAATAACTAAACCGAAGTATAATTGAACCGAACCTAACCTAACCGAAGAAGTCAAAACTGATAAAAGTCAGACGTTCGTTTCACACATTAGAAGGAGTATATAAAAAATAATAAATTACGATTGCATTTATTGAAGAATTAAAATAGAAAAAATTACGGAAACTGTAATCTCTAAGAGAGAGAGGGAGCTTATTATAAAAAATATATACATAAACGCATTAAAACTCATGAACTGAAGAAAATTAAATTAGTAACATTTTTCTCATTGACCTTTGCTTCTTCTTCTTCATCTTCATAATCTTCTTCTCCAATCATAGTTTCTCTCTTTCTGGATTCCACCATTCTCATTCGTGTGCTTCATTTTTGTCGGCTTTGTTCTAATCTCGATTCTATCCATGGAAGAATAATCTGCGTCTCTCTGAAGATCTCCTTCCCCCCCACACAAAGTAGACAGATCGATTCAGGCGTAAATCCGAAATTCCCCCCCCCCCCAACCAAATCATTGGAATTTTGTTGTTCTTAGGGTTTTGGGTTTTGTTCTTCAAAATCTGTTTAATCGATCAGATCGGTTGGTTAATCTCGATTTATAGAAGATGAAGATAGCGGCCAATGGCCGGTTTTTCACAATCGGGCTCGTCGCGTCGTGGTATTCATCCAACATCGGAGTTCTGTTGCTCAACAAGTACTTGTTAAGCAACTATGGGTTCAAGTATCCCATCTTCCTCACCATGTGCCACATGACGGCGTGTTCTCTTCTTAGCTACGTCGCTATCGCTTGGATGAAGATGGTCCCGATGCAAACGATCCGATCCCGAGTTCAGTTTTTTAAGATCGCTGCGCTGAGTCTCGTTTTCTGTGTGTCGGTGGTGTTTGGGAACATTTCTCTTAGGTTTCTTCCTGTTTCGTTTAACCAAGCGATCGGTGCTACCACGCCCTTTTTCACTGCCGTGTTTGCTTATCTGATAACGTTTAAGAGAGAAGCTTGGTTGACTTACTTAACTCTCGTCCCTGTTGTTACCGGTGTTGTCATTGCCAGTGGGGTAATTGCTTCTTTTTCTAACTTCAAAATGTGTTCTTTTGCTGTTGTATTTTTGATTTGGCTTATGCTTAGTTAGATTGGTTCTGATCCAATTCGAAGCGTATGTTGAAATTGAGGTGAAATGTGTTGTTATGGTTGATGAATTATGTAGCTTTAGGGAGAATGGAGCTTGAAGTAGGGGCACGAATGAGAGGGGGCTTTTACAGTGACTTAGGAATTGAATATTATGAGCTGAAAAATGGTTTTTTCAAATTCTCAGTTTTGGACGTTGACAGAAATAGCAACTTTTATACTTACATTTCACCTTTTGAAAACATTTCGGTTGCTCTGAGCTCAAAGCTGAAGTTTTGTTAAGTTACTATATCTCAATCACTATATGATAACAAGTTTATATGCTGCTCGAGAGTTATAGTTAGTAAAGAGGTTGTTCTTTTATGTAAGCAGAGTATGCTTCTTCTCGGATCTTTTTCATTGCATTTAGAGCATCCTTTTCTACATTGACTTTAACTCTTTATCTGATTTTCCTCATTTCTAATGTTTGGTTAGGGTGAACCAAGTTTCCACCTGTTCGGATTCATTATGTGCATTGCAGCCACAGCTGCAAGAGCACTTAAATCGGTGCTTCAAGGAATTTTGCTATCTTCAGAAGGGTAAGAGATTATAGCATTTTTTTGCAGTTTTTTTCAGCTAAAATTCTATCTTGCAGAAGTTTGTATTGTATTAAGAGTGTTGCTGAAAATCTTTACTGAATTTGTTTGAAGGGAGAAGCTAAACTCCATGAACCTTCTCCTTTACATGGCTCCCATAGCTGTTGTGTTCCTTCTTCCTGCTACCCTTATCATGGAAAAAAATGTTGTTGGCATTACAATTGCACTGGCCAGAGATGATTTTAGAATTGTTTGGTATCTGCTATTCAATTCGGCGCTTGCATATTTTGTGAACTTGACCAATTTCTTAGTCACGAAACACACCAGCGCTCTGACTCTCCAGGTACCAACATATTGCTTCTTTCTATACATTAACTGTATCATGTAAATCCATTGACCACCTCTCATAAGTTATAAGTGAATGATTTATTTGTCTATGATAGGTGCTAGGAAACGCCAAAGGTGCAGTAGCAGTGGTGGTCTCTATCCTGATATTCAGGAATCCAGTCTCAGTGACTGGAATGTTAGGTTACTCACTCACGGTCTGTGGAGTTATCTTCTACAGTGAAGCCAAGAAACGAAGCAAATGAAAGAAACATTCATTCTATTTGTTCAGTCCCTCAGGTAAACAACACAGGCAAGTTTCTTTTGCTATGAACAAAAACCTTACACAGCATCTTTGGATCAAAAGCAAAGGCTGTGTAAAGCAATACCAAAGGATCGGAGTACCAAAAGCAATCATGTAGAGGACTTCACAAATAAGTGATTTTTTTTCCCTTCTTTTTTCCTTTTTGTTCTCGGATTCTCTCTACTGCTTTCGTCGTAGGTTGTTCTAAGAGTAACTTCGATTTAGCTTTTTTGTTTTGTTTTGTCGATTCTTTATAGTTTTGTTATATCAACATTTACAACACTGATTAATTAATGGAAAAAGACCGAGTTTTTTTTCTTCTTCCCCCTGTTTTTAGTTCCCACTACTCTCTGTGAATACAAACTTATGTTATGCAGTTGGATTATGATCTTGAGAGAGAGTGAGAGGTTGGATTCATATTGTATGCCATAGATTCCTGAAACACGGTCCCCGGTTCCAGGCTGGGTTGTTAGTTAAGATTTTTTTTATTGCTACAGATTCTTCGAGCATAGAACTGAGACAAATGAGGGGAGTAACGCAAAGGAGTACTATAAGCGACCAGATAAGCAGAGTCACATTCTTCTGCAACAATGTGTTGTTTTGTCAAATTAGGACACTTCAATCTTTCCCAGAGAACAATAGAGCGAGCATATTCGACTATCATGATCCAACCACACACATATAGAGGCTAACCTATAAGTTGTTGTTTATTTGTGTGTGTATGTATGAGAAAAGGGTTTCCAGAGCTTTGATTCTCTCTTAACTCGGATTTGAAACTAAGTGGCTGAAGTTGAGGGTTATGGTAAAGTTAATTAGGTTCTCATAAGGGTTTTTCTGTGAGACAAAACCAAAATATAGGTTGTAACGTTTAAAAAAGTTTCTGTGAGACAACCAAAATATAATTAGGTTGTCAAAAGGGTTTTTCTGTGAGACAAAACCAAAATATAGGTTGTAACGTTTAAAAAAGTTTCTGTGAGACAAAACCAAAATATAGGTTGTAACGCCAAAAAAGTTTCTATGAGAGAAAACCAAAATATAGGTTTGTAACGTCTAAAATCGTTTCTATGACACAAAACTAAAATATAGGTTTGTAACGTCTGTTTACAAAAAAAAAAAAAAAAACAAAAAGGTTTGTAACGTCTAACAACGTTTCTATGACACAAAACCAAAATGTAGGTTTGTAACGACTAAAAAAGTTTTGAACAAAATCCGCAAGTTTTTTATTTAGGTTGTAACGTCTTTAAAGTTTTGTCTTTTTGACCAAAAAAACGTCTTAAAATATATAAATCATTTTTTTAGAAAAGTTACATTTTTACAAAATTACACTATACTGTATCTAGCAGATTCAGTCAAATGCAAATAAAACCATCAATTGATTTAGACACAACTTCATTTAAATCAAAACCAAGTCTTAGTTAAAACAATTTATTACTTTCGTGTTTCATACTTGACCAAAAAGATTATACAGATTGCCCATACTGCTTTTAGTTTCCTATTTCTTATCTCATGACCATTAGATTTATTAATTAATTAGTAGTAATCAAAGTCACATATTTAGTCTTAAACAAAAATTAGAAAATAATTAAGTTAAGCCAAACATAGTTCTTTTTGACTAAGATAAAATTTGTTTGGTAAAAACAAGTCATAATAATGACAATAATTTTCACTTATTCAATAGTCAAAATTTTACATATTTTTTGACTAAAATACACTATAGTACATTTGAAATAACTATATACCAAAATGTAAAAAAAGATAGTCAGCATTTTGCATATTTTTGACTAAAATAGATATCTACATTTAATCCATTTGCTAATTTTACTATGTAAGTAATTTTTAATAAAAACGTTGGAATATCATTAACATTTAAAAAATAAAAAATATTATATTTTTATAATTTTTATTTAATATATAACATGTCATTTTGCGCAAAAACTTACTTGTAAGTTGTAATAATAGTATGTCTAAACTTACTTATGTATGTAACAAAAAGAATTTATAATATTTGACCTAACTTGTCAAGTAAACTTACTTGTCTACATAATAATTTGTAATGGTAACTAACCTAGTTAGAAACCATGTAATTTTTTTTTTCAAAATCTCCCGCGCAAACTCATTTGTATATCGAATAAACAATAATATTATCAAGCGCTTAAAGTCACTTATCCACATAATTAAAAACACATAATAATTAATTTAATTAAACAATATACCTCATAAACAGATAACGTGTATTTTCAAATTTTCCCCCGTAAAATTATTTGTGGTGTCTGATAAAGAAAATAATGACAATAATGTGTAAGATAAATAAACAACGTGTTAATTTTCTTTTCAAATTACCCGCGTAAATTCAAATTCATATATGTATCTAAAAAAAATAAAAAAATATACAGTGTGAGAATTTTTATTTAAAAAAATTGTAATCTCAGAATTCTTTAAAAAAAAAAAAAATCTTACCTGTAAACCTACTAAAGAAACAAAGAAACAAAGAAACAACTTATGGTAACTAATTTAATAAAAATCTTTACTTTGACTATCTTCTTAATTAACACTAAAAAAATCACAAGATAAACTTTCATATTTTACAACAAAGTGAAAAGAGAACCAATTAATTAAGATAAGGGTAAACCAGCTCCAACCGTTATAAAATGGGGAGCTAAATGCCCTGTAAATTGTAATCTCAGAAAAACAAGACATCTTTGCTGCTCGGAGAATCACTCTTCGTCTAAATTTCTGGTAAACGCTTTACGTTTTGTTGCTGTTTTGTTTTAACCATCACACAAAGTTTTGTTGTTCGTCTCCGCCGTTACCGTCTACGATAGCTCTCCATTTTAGAGTTTCGTGTGCGATTAGACAATCACGAGTCACAAATATCGTTTTTATTTAAGTTCATGGTAAGGGTATAGTATAACAGTAGATCTTAGTGTAATAAAGAGCTCAACCATAGATTGCTTACACTAGATCTAGTGTAATAAAGTGCTCAACCATTGATTGCATGCATACACTAGATCTGTTGTGTAATAAAGAGCTCAACCATAGATTTCATAAATGTTCATCACATCACTCTAAGCACTCGATCTAGTTGGTTTTTTTTTTCCAGAATTTGCCTTCCAAAACCGATGTCATATTATCTACTCTGATTATGTGTGTGTCCTTGTCTTCCATGTGGTCTCTCTTAGATGTGTTTGTATGATTACGTTTGTGATTGTCCTAAGAAAATTTGGTAACAGGAATTTGTTATTTGGAATTGAAATAAGTCATGCATGTGTTCAGTCAAAAGCAATTGAGATTTGTTGTTTCATGAGTTTCTGCTGTTAATTCTATGCTTAGGCCTAGATTAAGCCATGATATGTAAAATTTCCAGACAAATGTGGATGCTTCTAAGCTTTGTATATATATATATTTGGTTACAGTTTAAAACTGTGTTTTGACAACTAGTAGAATCGCGGAATAACGATTCCACGAGATTTTAACCAATCATATATTCAAGCTATTTTTATATGTTATTTCCCGCGATTTCTAACGGTGTTACCGGTATTTTAATATAATATTGTTTAGGAAAGAACTTACGTTTTTTTGTTGGTGATGTCGTCGTACGTTACTTATCTAGGAAAGAACCATGACGTCGGGAGCCAGGTGGAAACCTGAATACCCCAGAGCCTCGTGGCAACCTGAATACCACAAAATATTTGTGGAGTTATGCGTCGAGCACAAGGGGTCGGGGCATCTACCTGGGATGCAGCATCTACTGACAACTTTTGTGGAAAAGACGGGAGCGAGGTTCACCATAAACCAGCTTAAGAATCATTATGATACAATGCTCAAGCAGTGGAAGGTATGGTTAAGACTGATTCAATGCAGAGATATGAAATGGGATCCCCAGACAAAAACGTTTGGTGCCACTGATCAAGACTGGGCCAACTACATACAGGTACAACCGAACTGTTGTTTTTTTTTTTTTTTTTTTAATAATGTTTATGTGTTGATTTTGACTGTTTATACTAAAACATGATTGGATTTGTCACAGGTGAATCGTGAGGCTCAGCCGTATTGGAAGAAGTCGCCTCCATTGTTCTTGGAGGAACTAGAGATTATCTTTGAAGGTGTTAACTTATATGGTGAAGGTACTTCATCAGATAGCAGAAAAAGGGAGCGTGATGAAGGAAATGATGCTGGAGATGAAGCCAGCTTAAGCGCACCTAGCATCGGGCATCCTCGGACTTTATGGTCGTCGACCTCACATGATATTTTTGTGGATTTGTTGTTCCAAGAGTCATCAAAGATAAGAAAACCAACCAGACTTCACGAAACTTATCCAAAGGAAACTTGGGATAAGATGGTTGATGCCATCAATCTTGAAACAGGAGCAAGCTTCACAAGAGGTCAGCTCAAGAACCGCTGGGCTGTCACAAGGCAAGAATGGAGGTACTGGTGTCAGGCTATTGGCGCTCCCATCTTGAAGTGGGACTCCAATACAGAAAAGTTCGGAGCAACCGACGAGGACTGGGAAAACTTCTTGAAGGTAGTAAACAAAAACGTCACTCCATATTTTTCTTATTTTATCAATTGGTAAACAAAATTTGAACTTTGACACTAACACTAGACCTTTTTTGTTTGTTGCTGATTTTATATATAGTTGAATTCCAAAGCTGCAATGTTCAGATGGAAAACTATTCCTCACGCTAAAAAGCTAGCAACTATCTTCAAAGGACGTGTTGAACCTGGAAATACCCAAGTCCGTTCTTATCGCAGGAGGGTGATGAATCATTCCTATGAAGCACCACAGTTACATGAACCAGCTCCATCATCAGCAGTCAACACACAGGAGCCAGTCACAGGAGGAAGGGACGACAGAGCAGGAAAAAATGTTGACAAGGATCATGAGCCTATTGAGGTGGTTGTGTTAGATTCAGAGGATGAAACTGAAACCCCGGTATGTCACAGGTTCAATACAGAGATGAAGGGGAAGAGTCCTGTGGATGCATCGACATCGGTCCAGAAATACGACTATACCATTCCGGAATGCATGGAGTGTTTGGACGCCATGGCTGAGCTTAAGAAAGGCAGTGAGCTTTACATGTTTGCCTTGGACATGTTAATGGTGAAAGAGCACAGACAAATCTTCTTGCTGTTGAAGACCTCGACTTTAAGAATGTCTTGGCTGAACCATCGTCGACGCAGTGTGTAAGATCATATCTCCAAAACTTCTGATGATGCTTATCATCTCTATCTATCTTTTCGAGAAAAAACTGTTTAAGTTTCTCATGTTGTGTTGTTCTTGGTTGTTCCTTCTTCCTTTTCCAAAACTCTATTCCTTCTTCCTTTTCCAAAACTCTATTCCTTCTTCCTTTTCTTAACTGTTATGTCAAACTCTTTATATATATATATTTTAGGAAAATAATTTATGGGTACTATCTAATATGTTGGAGCTTTCTTGAACAACAAGTGACCTTCATCTCCTTATTTATCGAATCATGTGACGATGATTACATGACCACGCTTCTTGGGGAGAAAGCCATCGTTTTCGTTACTGGATCATATCTCTTTAATATAAAAAGCCCAAATACTGTCGCATAAGAAGCCCAATATTATTTATTTACTGTCTCATAAGAAGCCTAATGTTATTGTTCAAGTAAAAAATTAAAATATTATATATTTTGTTTAATCCAACTATACTAATTAAATAATTTGTAATAGAAGCACATAAAATGCTACGTTTTCAAATGTAACGCCTAAACTCATTTATGTACCTGACAAAGAAAACAATACGTGTTTAAATTTGCTTATATTATGATTTAAGGCAACTTTCCTTTTTGTTGTGTTGAACAGGTTTTGGCCAAAAAAAGACAATTTATCTTTAAATCTATTTAATTATATGACTTGTTTTTGTGTGTTGAATAAGAAGATACAGTCAAAATTTAGTGTCTAATTAGCTTTTGGTTTTAAACCCGGTTGGAGCTGGTTCTCTCTATTGGTAATTTTTTAAAAGTTGTGTTGAATAGGTTTCGAATTGAGGCAAAAAAGGAAATTGATCAGTAATTCAATTAGATAACATTAATGAGTCAACAGAACTGAAGATAAATTGTATTATTTTTTTAATTTTGCAAAAAAATGAATTCTGTTCAGCAAAATCATGATAAAAATTTCAATAAAGAGAACCGGTTCTAACCGGGTATTAAAACTGGGGTCTCTTTAGACGCCTAGTAATCTCAGAAAATGAAAAGCATCCGTCTCGAGCGGCACACACAAACGCCAAAATCAGATTAAAAAGCCAGAAAAAATAGCGATCTTGCTCTGCTCAGCCACACTGCAGCAAATCAGAATCGCTCTCGCCGCTCTTCTAATTTCCGGTAAACGTTTTACAATTCCGTTGCAGTTTATATTTTGTTCTTCTTCTTCTCCGGCCACAAAGAGTTGTACCCAAATTTCGCGTTCGATTTCTCCATTTTTTAATCGCGACTCGAAAAAATCGTCTTTTTTTTTGTTTTCTTCATGTTAGGGCTATAACAGAAAGCTTGATCTAGTGTAAAGAGCTGAACCCTAAATTGCATGAATGATCACTCGATCTAGTAGATCTTCAGAATTTTACCTTCCAAAAATCATTGCTTTATCTTATTTTGATTATGGGTTTCTTGTCTTTTGTTGTCTCCTGAATGTGTTTGTCTGATAATGTTTGTGTGAAAATTGTCTCAAGTAAACCTGCTAACATGAAGTTGTTAGAATCTATGGATTAACTGATAAGTCCTGTATGCTTCCAATCAAGAGCAATTGTTTATTGAGTTTCTGGGTTTAACTTAAGTTTTGGTTCTAAATTCAGCCATGATGTAAAATTTCAGGCGAATGTGGATTAATACTTTGTATAGATTTTGTTGCTGTCAAACCAGAGCTCTTTTAATGTGACATTGTTTTGCAAAGAGCTGATGTTTTTGTCACTTTTATGCTGATGTAGTGAAGAATTATGATGCTGAAAGCAGCGTGGGAACCCGAGTACCACAGAGTATTTGTGGACTTATGCGTGGAGCAGAAGATGTTGGGGAACCAACCTGGAACGCAGCATATATTGAAACCTTTTCAGCAAAGGACGGGGGCTAGGTTCACCAGAAACCAGCTTAAGAATCATTGGGATACAATGATCAAGCAGTGGAAGATATGGTGTAGACTTGTTCAATGCAGTGATATGAAATGGGATCCCCACACAAACACTTTTGGTGCCAGTGATGAAGACTGGGCCAACTATTTACAGGTACAATGAATGGTTTGTGTTCTGTGTATGATTTTGGCTATTTCTTGGTAAGTCTATGATAAAACTTTGATTCGATTTCTCACAGGTGAACCCTGAGGCGGGGCAGTATCGGTTGAATCCTCCATTGTTCCTCAAGAAGCTAGAGATCATCTTTGAAGATAGTACCTTAGATGATGAAGGTTCTTCAGGTAGGAAAAGGAAGCGAATATGCAAGCATCGTGATGAAGAGAATGATACTGGAGATGAAGATATGCTAAGCGCGTCTAATTTCTCGAGTCCTCAGTCTAAGGGATATTGGTCACCTTCCTCACATGAGCTGTTTGTTGATTTGCTGTACCAAGAGGCTTTAAAAGGAAACAGACCTGACTCACATTATCCTAAGGAAACTTGGAAAATGATGCTTGAGACGATCAATCAGAATACCGGAAAAAGCTTTACAAGACCGCAGCTGAAAAATCACTGGGATTGTACCAGGAAAGGATGGAAGATCTGGTGTCAAGTGATTGGTGATCCCATCATGAAATGGGATGCAAATTCCCGAACGTTTGGCGCTACAGAGGAAGACTGGAAAACCTACTTGAAGGTTAAAAAACACGGCTCGGCTTTTTCAAATCAGTTGGAAATTTTACAGCTTGGGACAACGTTTGATCTTTTTGTGTGTTTGTTGTTGTTAATTTACAGGAAAATCATAGAGCTGCAGCATTCAGAAGGAAACATATCCCTCACGCAGATAAACTAGCAACCATCTTCAAAGGACTTATAGAACCTGGAAAAGCCTATTTCCGTCACTATCGCAGGAGAGTGGATGATCATCATCCCGAATCACCACAGCTACATGACCCTACTCCATTATCAACACTCTACACAAACGAGCCAGTCACAGGAAGTGAAGATAGAGCTGATGAAGATGATGATGATGATGATGAGCCTGCTCTGCAGCACATGAGATTTGACGGTGTTGGTTTTGCAGAGTCGCGGTTACAAGATGTTGAAATTGTAACTCCTGGAAGTCACAGGTTCAACACCGAGCTGATGGAGAAGATTCCAGTGAATGCATCGGTCAAGAAGTACGAGTATACCATTGGAGAATGCATTGAGTGTCTGGACACCATGGAAGAGGTTGAGCAAGGCAGTGATCTTTACATGTTTGCCTTGGATTTGTTTCCGACAAAAGAGTACAGAGAGATCTTCTTACAGTTGAAGAACTCAAGTTTGAGAATGTCTTGGCTGCTTAGACGTCGATCTGGTGGCCCTAGCACTGCTGCCTAAGATCCTCTTCTCCCAAACTTCTGATTATTTATCTATCTTTAATTATCTTTCTTAGAAACATGGTACTTTATTCTAAGTTTAGTCGTTATGGGTAATATCTAATGTGTTGGGAGTAACTTAGAACTCTGTTTTCAATAGTGTGAGATATTAAATTATAATATTTGTTTTCAAATTATTAGCCTATTATACCTTATGAGACTACGAGTAATCAGAATAAGCTGACAAGAATCTTCCATTCTAGGTGGATTATAATCTAAGCCAAGAGAGTGATCGTGGACGAACGTTATTGTAAGATGAACTTTAGGTTCCTTGAAAGATTTTATGACAGTGAAACATTACAAGAATCAGTTGTCGTCACTAGTGACTAGTGCCACTACTGAAAGCTACTTTCTAATTGTTAAAACTCTAACCCTCTAGTAACTTGTGTCGGAAGAAAACTACTAAGTCTCTATTGCAGATGAGAAGTTAACTTCAAACCATTTGTATCCTATGATATCGTCTATGTAGCTTTCTCTTCTTTATGTAGGCTTTAAGGAAAAAGCAATAATCGAAACTCAGAAAAAGACTACAAAACCAAATCATAGATATAACCAGCCTTCATTTATAGCTTCGTTGATTAATTAGGCGCCATAACTTCAGTTCCAAGCAGAGGGAAATGAAAGAGAAAATGGCTACTTCGTGTGCTACAATTCTTCTTATCGTGTTTCTCAGTCTCCAATATCTGGCTGAGGCAAACATTCGTCGCTACAAGTTCAATGTAAGTGTTACAGATTTTGGAGTTCTCTTGAACAACAAGCAACCTTCATCTTCTTCTTTATGAGACAGGTAGTGATGAAAAATATTACCAAGCTCTGTTCGACGAAACCAATAGTTACTATTAACGGGAAGTTTCCAGGACCAACTCTTTATGCGAGAGAAGACGATAACGTGATCGTAAACCTAACCAACAACGTCAACTACAATGTCACTATCCACTGGTAATTACAACTCAAAAAGATTCAAGTCATGAGCACGAATCTTGAAAATCTTGACTGATCTCCTAGGAGGGTTTCTACAGGCATGGCGTGAAACAGCTAAGAACAGGATGGTCGGATGGACCAGCCTATATAACACAATGTCCCGTCCAACCAGGAGGAACTTTTGTCTACAACTTCACGCTCACGGGCCAACGAGGAACGCTTCTATGGCACGCCCATATCTCGTGGCTTAGAGCGACTGTTCACGGTGCTATCGTCATTCTTCCAAAGCGTGGTGTACCTTACCCGTTTCCTCGGCCTCATACCGAGAAAATCATCGTTTTCGGTGAGGGCTTTGAAGCTCTAGATAGCTAGTTACTAGATCATATCACTCGTCTCTTAATGTGATAGATGATTGATAGGTGAATGGTGGAAATCAGATGTTGAAGCTGTGATCAATCAATCCACACAATCCGGTTTGCCACCAAATATCTCAGATGCTCACACCATTAACGGACTTACCGGTCGGTCCGGTCCAGTCCCCGGTTGCAAGTCTCGTGGTATAAACTAGAGCTTGACATTATGGCTATTCGGTTAAGTTATATTAAGTATATTCGGTATAAATTTGTTGGACCAAATTAAAACCAATATTTGTTTGATTCAATGTTGGCTATAACATTATGTATATTGTGGAAAATTTTCGGTTTATGTGATATGATATTTAGATAATAATAAGAAATTGCAAATAACAATTTGGTTTTCAGTTTTGGACCTTTTGGTTGTCTTAGTAATCAGTGTAACTTAATTAAATATTCTTATACCAATTGGTTTAAGTAATCTTTTTCGATCACGGCTAATCAGTTTCCTATTGATCGACTTGTCTTGCGATGCTGATCTTAGGTTACACTTTACACGTCAAAACCGGGAAGAAATACCTCTTAAGGATTATCAACGCTGCAGTTAACGACGAACTATTTTTCAAGATCGCAGGACACAACTTCACTGTCGTTGAAGTCGACGCAAGCTACACTAAACCGTTTAACACCGATACGCTTTTCTTAGGTCCAGGCCAAACAACAAACGCAATCTTGACCGCTACTCATCCCCCTGGAAACTTCTTAATGACCATTTCTCCTTTTATGGACACCGTTGTCCCTGTTAATAACGCTACCGGAACCGCTCTTTTGCGGTATAAAGACACAACAACTACACAATCCTTGACAAGTTCCAAGATCCCTCCAATAAACGCTACAAGCATTGCCCTAGGCTTCTCGGACTCTTTAAGAAGCCTAAATTCGCCAGATTATCCAACCAAGGTTCCGTTAAAGATCGATCACTCGCTGTTCTTTACGATAGGAGTTGGCGTGAACCCGTGTACCACGTGTATTAACGGAACCAAAACCATTGCGGACATCAACAACGTTAGCTTTGTGATGCCAACAGTGGCTATGCTTCAAGCACATTATTTCAACAAAAGTGAAGGCGTTTTCACCGATGATTTTCCGGGAAGACCCTTGACGCCGTTTAATTACACGGGCGGTTTGAATAATCTTCGGACAAAGAAGGGAACAAAAGTCTATAGACTTGAGTTTAACTCAACGGTACAAGTTATAATCCAAGGGACAAGTGTTATAGCACCTGAGAGTCATCCCACGCATCTCCATGGATCCAATTTCTTCGTGGTTGGTAAAGGATTGGGGAACTTTGATCCGTTAGAGGATCCTAAGAAGTTTAATCTTATTGATCCTGTTGAGAGGAACACTGTTAGTGTCCCTACCGCAGGATGGACAGCGATTCGGTTTAGAGCAGACAATCCAGGTAATAAATCTTTCACCATATCTCTTATACGAGTGTTTGGACATTTAATTTGACTCCTGAATAATGAATGACTATAATTTGGATTCGGTTAGGTGTTTGGTTCTTTCATTGTCACTTGGAAGTGCACACTTCTTGGGGACTTAAAATGGCGTTTCTTGTGGAAGACGGCAAAAGTTCTAACGAAAAACTTCCACCGCCTCCAAGTGATCTTCCCATATGCTAAATTTAATATATCTATTGAAATTTCATAAACATTGAGAAGAAAGAAAAAGAGTGAATAGTTTGGTTACTTGTTATTCAAGAAAGAGTCAATGGCTTGAAAAGTTACAAGACTTTCTCAAGTCTTTGCAGTTTGTTTTCATTTCTTTGTTCTTGTTGATTATTTCCCATAAAAATAATAATTATGACTGAATTATCTGAATTTTTTGTTTTTGTTCATTTGAAAATTAATGGAAGCTAGAATGTTTTATTTTTTCCAAAAGTAGATAAAACCGAGAATTTCTTGGAAAGTTTCTGTTTCAAGAAAGTAATTTACTAAAAACTGTTCTGAACATGAAAACAAAGTTAAATGGAGAGATAGTGGGGGGGGGGGGGGGATTCAGTGAGCTTTAGCTATTGAGATTTGTGACACTTTCAGAAAATATCTCCCACCGACGCATTATTACTAAAACCAATCATCACTTACTTATATGAAGAATACTTATATGAAGAAGGGAAGAATTACAAAATTATCGCGTCAGGTAGGGGTCGAACCTACGACCTTCTGCTTAGGAAACAGACGCTCTATCCACTGAGCTACAGACGCTTCTTTGCTAATCGTCTTAGAAATTTCTTAGATAACAATGAAGTCAACCGTGTGAACCAGAAAAAAGAGGCGATAGAAGGAAATTTGTCGTTTTCCGAATATTATAATTTTGTAATGAAACAGCATGAATCCGAGTGGGAGTGGTGCCATGCCATTCGCTGTTCGACCAATCCAAATACGCCAAAACAAAAAGCAAAAACCTTTTCCTTCTTTCTCCTCTCTCTCTCTCAGTGCCCAATTCCACAGTGTCTCTCTCTGTATAAGACCCTTCTAGTTTGTCCTTCACAATCTATCTCTCTCTCTTTCTACTGGCTCTTCTCAACTCAAGCCCTCACCTAGTCTCCCTCTCTTTCTCTTACTCAACTGATCTTTGCTGTTTTCGTCTTCCTTCTACGACCCACTTTTTTGCAGATTCTTTAGATTCTTCTAAGCTTTGAGTCTTTTTCTGATTCGAGTGTCGGTTTTATTATATGCTTCAAATCTCTCACCCATATCAGGTTCTTGATTCTTTCGGTATACGATTCTTGATTCTTTTTTTCCTTCCCTTTTGTTTTTTTCCTTCCTTTGATTCCTAATATATTATCATTAAATTCTAATTCTTTTATATATAAAAGCTTCTATCTTTTCCTAATATATCACAAATCAATCTTTCAAGCTTTCTCATACTAAACAAGAAAATGGACTTTTTTGAGCTGTTTTTGTAGTTGGAACTTATTCTTCTGAGTGACCTCTTCTTTGTTTTTTTTTATAGCTATGGAGACTCTGCATCCACTCTCTCACCTGCCTATCTCTGACCACCGGTTCGTATTTCAAGAGATGATGAGCTTACAAAGCTCGAGCAGCAGCAGCAGCTGGACTAAAGAAGAGAACAAGATGTTCGAACGAGCTCTTGCCATATACGCTGAAGACTCGCCTGATCGCTGGTTCAAAGTTGCTTCCATGATCCCTGGGAAGACTGTTTTGGATGTCATGAATCAGTATAGTAAGCTCGAAGAAGACGTTTCCGATATTGAAGCAGGACGTGTCCCCATTCCTGGTTACCCTGCAGCTTCTTCTCCCTCTGCGTTTGACCCTGAGACGTGTCGGAAACGGCCTAATGGAGCCAGAGGATCTGATCATGATCGAAAGAAAGGAGTTCCTTGGACTGAGGAAGAACACAGGTTTAATAGACTCTTCCTAGGTTTTCTTGCAGTATAAGCCACTCCCCTGTTTTTCTTAGGGTTAACATTGCTCTGTTTCTTCTTCTTTGCAGGAGATTCTTGTTAGGGCTTCTTAAGTACGGGAAAGGAGACTGGAGAAACATATCAAGAAACTTCGTGGTGTCTAAGACGCCAACACAAGTCGCGAGCCACGCCCAAAAGTATTACCAAAGACAGCTCTCCGGAGCCAAGGACAAACGCCGGCCAAGTATCCATGACATCACAACCGTCAATCTCCTCAAAGCCAACCTCAACCGTTCCTTTTCCGATCATAGTGACATCCTCCCAGATTTAGGTTTTACCGACAAGGATAATGCTGAAGAGGGAGTAATGTTTATGGGTCAGAATCTATCTTCAGAAACCTTATTTTCTCCATCACCAACATCTTTCGACGCTGCCTTTAACTTCGCCGGAGCAAATGCCTTCAGTGCCAGAGCTTAAAGGTAACAACATAGAATCCCATATCAAGCTCAGCGTTCTAAAGAAGTTGAGTTTTGAAACTGTAATTAGAGGAATACAAGCAAAAACCAAGTTATTTACATATATATGTATTGTGTGGTTTAAAAATGTAAGAACTATATTTACATATATAGATCATGGTTATGTATTGTGTGGTTTAAAAACCAAGTTATTTACATAATTTTCCCTTTAAAAATGTAAGAACTTGTGTTCTCCGTTACATGAGTGTGACTTTGTATTTCTGTGTTTGTGTCTACGAAATTAGAATACGTATTAAATATCTATGTTTTCTTCTTTTCCATTAATTATAGATTTATAGTCTGTGAAAAAGACTTGTGCTCTATAATAAGATTTAACCATGATCTATTTTTGTGGTGTCAAATGCAAAGATATAAAGAATCAAGAGATCCAACTCCACACATATATGAAAGATTTGTTAAAAGTTCTACCTATATAGAACAGTTCATTTAGTTTATTTTATTGCAACTAAAGCAAAACAATTTTCTTTTAACGGATAAATTAAATTCGAGTAATCGTTTTTTCTTTTCTTTGCCAAAACTTATCTTGAACTTACTGCATGCGGATGAGCATCATCTAATATATATTTAGAAACTATATATAAATCTTGAAACTGCTTTGTTTATCATATCGTTTACTTTTTTTTGTTAGTTTAATAATTAGCAGGGTGTAAGAACTTAAATTAATTTAGGGGGAAAAATATAAACGATATGCGTTGGGTGAGTGTTGGTGGAAGGTATGAAGAATTGAATTAATGATCTGTGTAATAAAATAGAGGCTGAGTCTGCTTTCCACTTCTGACCAAAGAATCTCATTCTTCTCATCTATTACACCAACCTCTTTGCCTCCCCAAATATAAAAAAACGATTAAGAGTTTAATTATGCAATAATGTCATGCGAGATATAAAATAAGCATATAGACGAGAATTAAAAAAAATGGTCAAGTTGTTTTCGACAAAAAAACTATAAACTTTAATTAAGCAATGGCTATACGATAGCTCATATATATTTAAGGAAATGGGATTTGATTAAAATATCAAATAAATATTTTAGATGAATATTGATCATCAATAGTGATATATGATGCTATTGCAATTTGCGAGTCTCCTATTACGGATTAGAGAAAAAAAGAAAGTAGTTTCTTCTTTCTTTGCAACTTTATTATATACAGAAATGGCTTTACTTCTTTTGCCACCCTTTTGTTATTTTGTCACTTTCGATCTGGTCGCTTAGATGGGATCTACATGCCTTACACTGATGTGCCAATAAACCATTCATTGTTCTTACGTCACACATGCATTACTATATACTATACATTATACACTATTTATAATATGCGTGGGTACATACTATATATACATATATATCCAGTACTATGCGATGGATTAAAGATTTTGCTAGGCCGATAACTTTGAAAACAACAGGAAGAGAAGAAAAAAGAATTTTAAAGTGAAATTACGATTTTTCATATATTTTTCTACAATATTATAGAAACACATTCTAGAGAATTACTAAAGAATTGAAGAGTTGTAAATTATTTATCAAATATCTATATTATTATATCATGATTGAGATAACTTTTTGTGAAATGATATTCTTAAAATATGTTAAAGAAATCAAGATTTTGTTCTAGTAGTATACGCTAAATTTAGTGAGAGGAGCAATTAGTGCATGTATTACTTATAATTAGTGCATGTATTTACTATACCGACCCGACATAACATTTGCACAAAACGGCTACGTACGTGGGTATAACATCATAAAGGACATTGAGCAATTTAATAAGTACGAGAAACGTCGGGAAGCTTTGCGACCTTAAGATAATCCTAATATTTGATCAAAAAAGAAAGCTAATCCTAATCATGAATAGAATAATTAAACAATATCATTCAACTACTTTAGGTAAACGACAAAACCAAGTTCATAATAATATTTTCTTATTTTTTTTTGGGGGTATGAAACGATATTTATAATCTTTGGCTAATTGTTTAATTGTAACACTTATCAAGAAAAGAAAAAGAAAATGTGCTTGGAAAGTAGGCTTAAAAGCAAGTATTGCGTAACAAAGCACGTTCTTGATTTCATGATTTCAAAATACAAAAATTTCCGCTTATCATCATATCCTTTTCAACAAGCTTACGCCACTACTTCACTTTATTTTACCTTCCAAACACCTCTTTATTTTTTTCTTTGGCGGCCCTTCACTGTTAACCTTTCTTTTTTTTTTTGCTTCTTTTTTTTCATAATCATAACAAAATCTCAATAAAAGTGACAATCCTTCTTCCTTCTATCTCTATCAATGTAGTCATCATGTAGACACTTTATTCACACTTAATATATATATTTGTAAACCGGACATGAGCTCCACACACATCCGGTGTACGAGTCTTATGACGAATCTAATTTTGTGATTTATATATATATATATTTGAGTAGCATTTTGAGCTATGGTAAGTTATCTTCCATTGCTTATTTCATCTAGTAAGGAAAAGAAAATATAAACACCATATGATAAGAGAAAAAACAGTATTCTGACTTCTGAGACGAGAACTACATATTAATATTATAACCATTGTGTAGTAACAACTAACAACAGTAGTGGAAGATCATCGGAACGAGACTGAATCCGTTTTGTCCCACAACAGACCTTCTTCACATGCAGTAAATGACAGACAGAGTAATATCTGATTAGAGAACCTCCTAAATCTCGAAATTTTGGCTGCATTTTAACTCTCAGTGATTGCGGGTATGGCAACAGGCTTTGAGTCCTCTACTTTTTCATGTTCCTTGTTCAATAACTGAAACATTACATCCAGTGATGAACAAAACATATTGCATACAGCAAATTCAATCAATCACCTAAGAACGATAGAGAGAGATGGTTGTCTCTAACCTTGTTGTTGATCAAACTGTGGAGGGCAATTACACTACGGATGAGGGAAGAAAGGTAGATAACGAGCATCATGTCATTTGTTTTTACTGCACAAAATAAATTAAGTTAGGGGAAAAAGAATGCAAATGCGAGTATAGCTATGCTAACATAAAATTTCAAGGCAGAAAAGGGCAAACCTGCAAAGGCCTTAACCAACTCGTTGACGTTCAAGTTAGGAAGCAAGTTGAATACGTCCTACAGATTTCCAAAAGAGTATTTAATTTAGCTGAATTATCATTAGTAGCAACCACATATATTGTGATATAGCTTCTACTAGTTATCTAGAATTAGGAGATGAAAGTTTTTTAACCTGGAGATGGTATAAGATTTCATGGTTTAATGGGAGTCTTCCTTCAATTACAAGGTCAAGGTAACTCCGAATCTCCCGAAGTCGTGCATCCAATCCCTTCAGAGAAGTAAGTTTCGCAGTGACCTGAGAAACAGTTCACAAATAATTTCAGTTTCCTCAAGCATACAAGATATATGTTCCTCACATTTTGTTTTGCCAGCAAAAATCATACATTTGGATAAACATTAAGAATCTTGATAATGAAATTCTTAGGTTAGGTGTGAAGAAAACAACCTCAGTTGCTAAAGTACTGATGGTTGTGTCTTTTACATCCCTGAGCAAATGTTCCACACCTGTTCAAGACCAACCACCCGACATAAACAAAATGAGTAGGATTCCAATGAGTTTCCTCGGAAGCAACTACAAATAGAAAAACTATTCCATCACTGATGCACTAAAACAAGGAAATCAAACCATCAAAGGTTTTCTGTTCCATAAGTGGACATACCAATTTCCTCGACTTCATGAGCCGCAATTTCTGTAGGCACGTGTACAAACACCTGCTGGCTTTTCTGGGTAGCATTCTGCAGAGAACGAAGTTTGGATGAAGGCAATTATATATATGGATATAACTAAACAAATGCAGAAAGATAAGAAAGTAAGTCATGTATGTCAGATGCAACTTAACAGCCGAGCAAGTGATATGGTTAGAAATTGACTGGTATTTACCTCCTTCACCTCCTCAACTGCATAGTATGCTTTTGTGGGGATTCCAAGTTCTTTAGGCTGGACATCAATAATGACCAACACTGGATTTGGAACGTAGCTGAAACACCAGAAGGAAAGATTAAAACCCAAAGCAATACAGAAATAAGAAATAGCAAGACAGTAGATAGATAGTGAATGCTTTGAAAAAGGTTGTACATATATAACTTAGACAGACCATAGAACCATATATTAGACATCTCATGTCACCACAACGAGAAACAAAGATAAGACTGACTAATTCTGCTTGGTCTTACCCGTTGAATAAAGCGTGAACATCCAAATCATTCTCTCTGAGTTTAGGACCCGTGCTGTACCAGCCCACAACATGCTCCTTAGCTGAAAGCAAAGATTAACTAAGTCATCAAGAGGTTTTCCTCATATTCATATATACACTTCAGTAGTATTTTTACCGAGCAATACCATTAATCCTCTTGAACATGTGAAACATGGACTCATGGTAGTTGTGATCAAGAAACCAGATGCTAGAGTCTTTGTCATCTTCCTCAAAAGGCACTGTAAAACCGAGATACAAAAGGTCAAACAAGTGATATGCAAGTAATCAACGCACTTGCGAACAAGCTCATAGTGTAATGTAATGTGAAAAATCAAATGACTCTTGTTACACTCTCTCTAAGAAACTAATTCAACCACCAATATTATACTCATCACTCCGATAAGGAATTAAGCTACTAGAGCCAAGCTTGACTGATCCAATACAACTAAGTTTGAGGTCAGTATCACAAATCAACTCAAACTAAGTCAATTCTGAAACCCAAAAGCTTAAAAACCACCTAAAATGGTGAAACCGAATTCAATTACACACAAGAACACTAAACAAATCGAATTCTACAACCAGCAAGAGCTCAACAAAACGTTCGAGATCCGTGAGAAAGGAAAAGGCAAAACCAGGGGACCTGCATAGCTGTTGGTGACGTCGACGGTACCACGAGAGCTACTTCCGAGCAAAACGCCGATGACGCGCTTGCGTGTGTCCTTGGCTACACGATTGTAATGGTCGACGATACTAAGCAAGACAAGTGGGTGAACGATCACATTCTCGATCGTCCTTGCCGATATTTGCTGCGTTTTTATCACATCCATTTCTCGGGTGAATCAAATTTGCTCGAGAACTACTCAATTGTTTTCACCTGTGATTATCAACTTCCGATTTCGTTTTCCTTCGACGGAGCTCGAGTTAGCTTCTTCTCCAGGAAAACAAGCACAGCGTTAATAAATTCTTTTCTAACAATTTTATAACGCACTATGGGTTTAAACTAATAACGGGCCTTTATAAAGCCCAATTATATGGGCTTTTAAAGATAATAATTTGGACAATTATACCCAGATGTCTAACTAATATTGTCTAATTAATGTTTCAGATTTATAAATTTTACAGTTTTTGGTTTTGCACTACTAAAGTCTTTGACCACACACTGTAGAGAAGTGCATTCACATCCTTGGATTAAGCTAATACAGTACTATCCATAGCTCAGATTATTAAATCCACAAGAAAAGGAAAATATTTCAACGACCCAACTTGTTCTACATCATAGCTCATACATTGGATTTGGATAGTAGTAATATATTAAAAATACAACAAGATCTTTTAAAAAGGTTAAAGATATGGGTTAACAGTTTTAAAGAAAGCTTAATCGAAGATCTAACGGCGGAGGGTGTTCCATCTCAGCTCCACATGATGAATAATATGGAGAGAACGACGTCGTGCTCGTCTCTCGAATGTATTCACGGTACTGGTTGTTGTTATTATTGCCTCTAGCTCTCATTTTCTCGACTTTGGAGTTGGAGTCTTCAAATGGATTCACTGGAAAGAGTTGTAATGTCTCTATCACCTTCTCTTCCTCTTGACACTCTTCTTCGTTTATCTCAAAAACATCTACAGTTATATATTATCTCACCCATCAAATAAATTATCTAAAAATATAAAACTATCATCATAATATAGAGCTTAAAAAGATTATATATATACCTCTAGTTGATAATTGTTGGTGATGATGATGATGGTGGTGATGATCAAAGTCAATGGAGATTTTACGACGTTTCTGCCTCTCCCTAGCCTTATGGTTCTGGAACCAATAGAAAACGTTCTTGCTCTCGATCTTGCCGTAGAAACTGAGCTCCGTAGAGATCTTCTGAATCTGATCAGTGGTCGGGGTTCTAAGACCGGCTCGGAACAGATCCGTCAGAATCTTCAACTGCTCCACGGTCGGATTCCACCTCCCGCACTTCGTTCCCGTCCCTCCTCCTCCTCCTCCGTTGTTGTTGTTGCCCCGTAAGGTTCGACCTTTCACAGAGTAAGACATTTTTCAGATAAAATCCTCCTCAGCTGTTTACGTTTTAGGGACTGTATATGTATATTAATCCATATATATATATATAGTGGTGATTTATTCACTTCATGTAGTAGTTTATTATGTTTTTGGGATTTTCTAAGTGAAAAAGGAGAGCTGAATTGATAAAAATTGTCGGGAGGAGAGGTTTTCGAGTTATGTGTCGTTTTATGATGAGTTGTTTATTACGAAATGCATGCTTTGTTTTTTTTGGGGATTTGGGAGAGACTGATCTTCGCAGGATTTGATCGATTTCTTTATCCTATATATATATAACCTATCTAGGCTTCTGTTCCATGTATATATACATATTGTAGATTGTCTTGTGTGTATGATATACTATATAAGTAATTATTACAATTAGATCTAACATTACCATAACTTAATTTTTATATCAGAACCAACGATTGGGAAAATGAGACATCCAAATTGATTGACTCTATTTTCGTTTGTTGTGACTCGCACAATCCCCCTTCAACACAGTTTGTTACTATTCAAAACTCAAAACACACTTAAAATGATCAAACATTTGTAGCATAACGGTTTGCACTTAAGTTTGAAATGGTTCTAAAATTTTATGCAAATACGTTATTTTAAACGGATGACAGGTAAATTTTATATATAAATGAAAATGAGACGAATAAAATTATTAGCATATCATTGTGTGAACAGATTGTACGTTTGTCTTACTTCCACAGAAGATGTGACACTTGAGTAAGTTTGGTCGGCAAGTGTAGACAGAAATTTTGAAAAAAATTAACCTCTTGTTATGTATATAAGAAAATGAACAATATTACATATATCTGATTCTGGATCATATATGAATTTACGAAAGAAAAGCATTCGTGTACACTAATAGAAGAATCTGGCTTACACAACTACTACTTACTAGACGAATCAACAAAGAACTCTTCTAGAATGAAGAATATTGAAACGATTTTCTCAAAACAAACAAAAAAACAAATGCTTCTTTACTTTTTTTCGATAGTGGCGAGTCTTTTACTAATCGCAATATGCTTTTACTACAAATAAATCTGATCTTTTAAAGTTTGATAAGACGATACTAACACGAATCATTTATAAGTACATATACATGTTTTGGTATCTTTGGTCTTGTACTTTAAGTCAAATATATGTAATATTATACAAGTTTAAGATCCTATCAATACTAAAAGAAATAGAAAAAGAAAAGGAGAACGACAACATATATTACATCGTTTGTTTATTAACTATATTAATGTGGGCGTCAAAATGTCTTAATGGTGAAGACTTTAGATGAGACATGCACGGGACGCTAAGCAAGACTGAAAATGGTCCAAATAATAAAATGACAATGTGAATAAAACCAAACATTGTTTTTATACAACAAAGTACTATATAGCTCTCCACTAAACACCATAACACTACTTACAAATGTATCTTTGTCTCTCTCTCGCATATAATCTGCATCTTGTTTTTAAAAATTTCATCAATTCGGTGTCAAAGTCAAAGTTCACGTGGCTTTTGTTACTTGGAATCATCCCAGTTAAGTTTACACGACATCTTTGTTTAGTGTTTTCTTTGTCAATATCCGTTTTCATTAACCTCATAAATATTAACAACAGTATAAATAATATGTATTATAATTAAATATCTTAGCAGATATCTCATGCAACCTTAAAATCGATCAGTACTCTTGAGTCTAACATACGTAGATTTATGAATATCCATTATCTTTATTTGGTTCATGTAAACTTTATGATTAAGAATTTGAGATTTTGGAGATAAAGCAAGCACGCACAATACTGGTTAGAGATGACACAAAAAGCTACGAGTTATAAAAAAGTTAAGATTGCATTGCATGTCGTGGATTTGAACCTTGTAGGCTTGTACGCAAAAACTCTCATATAGGATGCAGTGAAACATTTCATTGCATATCCTTATGTTAGAAATCGAGTATCAAGAACAACGATCTGAGATGAACTCTAACTCGAATCTATCTTTTGAATACGATCGCTTTGTGTTTGAGTTTGTGCAAATAAAGAAACGAGAACAAAGAACACACGATTTGTTACCCAGTTCAGCGTGATCGATGTGATCACACCTACGTCTGGGGCCGAATCAATCCGGCAAATCCACTATCAAAATGAGTAAGAACCAGCTCGAACTTGAGCTTTACAACAATGGCGGATCTCTCTCACAAGTCTCTCTCTCTCTCGATACAACAGACTTGAAACAGAAAAATATGAAGAAGTGATAAGAGATGAAACGATCCGTTTCAGAATATAACAAACTCTTCACTGCAGTTAGAGACTTTGCATTGCTTCTTCTTTATCCGGTTCAATCAACAATCTTCTAAACCGGAGATAACCGCCTGATCAATTCTTCTAAGCTTCAATCAAACCAACCAAAGCTAATAGGATTTGAATCAGACCTGAACCTTCAACACTCCACCTTGATTCAATTCCTCTCATTTCATGGACTTGCACTTACATGGATTTAACCTTCAGCAGTGATGATTCTTCATCTCACCTGAGCAACTTTAGAAAATCTAAAGCTGCTTCAAACTTCTGCACAGGAATGCCTTTAGTAAGCATATCAGCAAGATTCTTTGAAGTGTGAATCTTCAATACCTCAACTTCCCCAGATTCAATGATGTCTCTGATAAAATTGTATTTGACTGCAATATGCTTTGTCCTCTCATGAAATGTATTGTTCTTTGACAAGCAGATTGCAGACTGTGAATCACACCAAACAGTGACCTTATCTTGCTTAAACCCCATATCCTCCAACAGTCCTTTAAGCCATAATGCTTCCTTTACAGCCTCTGAAAGAGCAACATACTCTGCTTCAGTTGTAGACAAAGCAGCAACAGGTTGCAAATTTGATTTCCAGCTTACAGTGTTTCCACCAACTGTAAAAACATAACCACTGATGGATCTTCTTTTATCAAGGTCTGCAGCATAATCCGAGTCACAAAAACCTTGTATATCAAGCTCCTTTCCACAAGTAAATGTCAAATTCAGATCACTAGACCCATTTAGATATCTTAGTAACCATTTGACAGCTTCCCAATGTATTCTCCCAGGTCGACTCATGAATCTACTTACAAGACCAATAGCATGAGCTACATCAGGCCTGGTGCCAACCATAGCATACATTATGCTTCCTATTGCACTAGAATAGGGAACTCTCTCTAAATCCACACACTCATCATCATTCTTAACAGCTGACAACTTAAAGTGTGCACCAATGGGAGTACTTACTGACTTAGAATCAGTCATATTAAACCTCTGCAATACCTTTCTCATGTATTGTGACTGAGATAAATGCAGAATACCTTCTTCTCTGTTTCGGATTATATCAATTCCTAGAATCCTACTTGCAGCTCCCATATCTTTCATCTCAAATTCCATACTTAAAACTCTCTTGAGTTTATCTATCTCTGCTATACTCCTAGCAGCTATCAACATGTCATCAACATACAAAAGTAAGTAGACAAATTTTTCAGGATTTACCTCTTTCACATAGACACAGGAATCATGCTCACTTCTGACAAACTCATGTTTCATCATGAATGCATTAAACCTCTTGTTCCATTGCCGAGGAGCCTGTTTCAAGCCATACAAAGACTTCTTTAGCAAACATACTTGATCTTGTTTAGAATTTACCTCAAAACCTTCAGGCTGTTCCATATATAATGGCTGATCAAGCTCCCCATGTAAGAATGCTGTCTTAACATCCATTTGTTCCAGCTCTAAATCATCTTTAACAACCAATGACATTAGTACTCTAATAGAGATATGCTTCACAACTGGTGCAAACACTTCTTGGTAATCAATACCAACTCTCTGAGTAAATCCTCTGGCAACCAACCTTGCCTTGTATCTTTCAGGCTCCACTCCTGGGATTCCAGGCTTCTTCTTGAACAACCATCTGCAACTGATCACCTTTTGATCTTTAGGGCGATCTACAATAGTCCAAGTACCATTTTTCAACAAAGAATTCATTTCTTCTGTCATGCCTGCATCCCATGCTTCCCAATGCTTGTCTTCTTTAGCTTCATGGTAGCAACTAGGTTCTTCACTTTCTAATTCCTCAGCAGCCATTAGAGCAAAAGCAAACTGAGAGTAATCTGAAAACTTTACTGGAGCCTTGATTTCTCTTCTAACTCTATCCCGAGCTAACTGATAGTTTGATAATCTTTCAGTAGCTTCAGGTAAGTCACCTTCAGGTTCATAATACTCAGAATCAGAATCACTAGAGACAATCTCAAC